CAGCAGGCTCGGTCTGCCCAAGACACAAACACAATTGTACGCCAAACAACCCCAGACCTTCACCCTCCAACCCGTCATGAGAAATCTCGCCCCTCCAGCACCATCGGCGCAACCAACGTCCAGCTGTAGATGGCATAACATATCCATGCGCTGATGATCTTGATCCAGCTCGCCCAGTATGTCCGACCCACCGGGGTAAAGTCGCTCGAATTCTCCGGGTCCATTTTCTGCGTCAAAAGCGTCGCCACCCAGCATGTCGCCATGAGGAAAATCACGTGGAACAGGCTGTAGTTGTACTGCGTCCCTTGCCGCTCGTCGTCCTTGGAACTGACTTCACCGCCATCTTCATCATCCGAGTCCTCGTCCAGCGCCGATGCCGGGAGCGCCCCGCTTTCCACCGCCGCCCTCATGATCTCGCGCCGTGACGCTGGCTGCTGAGACACCAGCCCGTGTTCGTTCTCATCTTGCGTCAATTGAGCGTATCGGTTCTTGCCCGTGTTCGACCCCATGGCAAACCCTTGTGTAGCTGCTCGCGTCGTCGTGTACGCGATGGTAAGCATGGTAACAATCGCCCCCAGGACCACCGTAGTTGTCCGTGCTCCCCGCGCACGGATGAGGGGATTGCAGTGCTTGTCATCAGGTTCCATGGCAACCGCCGAGAACGTCAGGTAGGTGCAGTAAACTGCCACCATGGCTGACTGTGCCAGACCTGCTTTGGGGTTGGCGTCTTGAATCGTCGGCTGAACACTCAGGAACGTCACGACAAAGAGGAGGACGAGGTTGATGGTGATGGCCGCGATGTTCATGCTGCACCCACTGCTGGCGAAGAAGATGTACATGACGATCGTCATGGCGAGTGCAGCCAGATACATCCCCAAGCTTGACCCCATAAGTAAAACTTGCCACAGCCGGTAGTTTGGCCCATCACCTTCATCAATCTTGTCCTGACAGAGTTCTGCCCACGTGTGCGCGAGATCGACAAGAAGGATCAACCCCAAGAGCACGAAGAGCATCGCCCCCACATATGCGACGTAGTTCCCCCAGAACATGAAAAAGCCCTCGGGTATAAAAAAAGAGATGACGATGAAGCCGATCCAAACCAGCAGTTTTGGACCCCAGAAGCCATTCTGCAGACCTGCTCGGGTGTCTTTGGTACTTCGGACTCCAATGAGCAGGACGGAGAGGATCAGATGGAACATGCCCAAGGCAAAATTGATGCGCTGAACCGCAAAATACCCATAACACTCAGATGAACCACATTTGAAGGTCATATAATCCAGAGTCAGGTGTTCCAGCTTTTTAATGGCCCAAGGTGTGAGCATTATCCAGGCCAGAATACTGTTGACCAGCAGAATCATGGCATATGCAATTCTCGTGGCGATGGAGGATCGGAACTTGGACATGCCACAAGGTCCACAGATCATCGAACATGATGCGGCGCCGCAGCACGAGGCTGCCACTGACCACAGCGTCGCCGCCGATGGCAGGATAAGGGCTGGGATAGCGAGGACACCACCCATGTTGGAAGTGAGACGGCCTTGTCGAGGTGCCGAGCTTCAAGGTGTGGGCAATTGTGTTTCAGCGGATATCGAGGGTTGGACCCAAGGCAGCGGGATGTTTCTTATCGTTACTCGCCTATAATGCTGTGTTGATCGGTGGTAGATGTTGATGGAAGAAACGGCGAAGAAGCGCAGGCGGCAAGTTCCTCGAGGGAGAAGTGAGGTCAGAGGCAGCCGGGAAAGCGGCACCTCCAAAGGCAAGTTTGCCGGACGAAGCCTTCTTCCCATTGGCTCATGAATCCGGCGGCATTCCATGCTTTGACTATTCTGAGAGAAGCCGTGGTTCGAGGTCGGATCCATTGCCGATTGACAAGTTCCTGGTGCCCCAACGCATGGCCCTCTTTATCTGTGCGTCCTCACCTCACCTTCTCTCACATCTCACCTCGCAGGATCCTGGAGAGATTGAGTCAGTCTTTGCATCGATCATGACGGGATGACCACTGTGGTCTCCAACCAGAACTCTCAAGATGATACGCACTTCAGACCATAAGAAGGCCCGGATCATAACCGTGGTCGCATGCACCATCACCGCATTGGCTTGCGGTTCCAACGTGCGCAGGACCCTTTCCCCACCACGAGACGACGACTGACCACAATCTTAGTATGGCTACTCCATCTGGGGACCGACTTTCGCAGCTCGCCTCAAGTTGACTGCCACAGACAGCAATCTTATCGTACGTTGAGGCCTATGACAATCAAGATTTCCAAGAGCGGGAACGTTGGCTGATATTCGGGGATTACGCAGGGAACCCTGGGCAACTTTGGGATGTATGCATTTGGCATTCCTTGTGGTATGATGGTCGATGCGAAAGGGCCCCGATGGGGAGTTGCTTTGAGCATCGTATTGTTCGCCGCTGGGTACTACCCAATTGCCAAAGGTACGACCTCGGGAGTCCTCCGGTGTCCAAATGAGGCGGCGCAAGACAACCTGACACTCAATAGCATACGATGCTGGCCCGGGACACTATAGTGTGGCATTGATCTGCCTGTTCTCCTTTTTCACCGGCGCGGGAAGCTGTTCGGCCTTTACTGCATCCATCAAAGCGGGTAAGACCTAACCACCGAAATTCGGTGAGGCTTTGAATTACGAGCTGACTCTATGCAGCTGCCCTGAACTATCCTGAATCTCGAGGGACAGCGACAGCCTTTCCGCTGGCGGCTTTCGGGCTGAGCGCATTGTTCTTCGCTGGCATCGCCCAATTACTTCCTGGAGGGACATATAACTTTCTTATTCTTTTGGCCGCGGGAACGGTTCTTCTTCCTTTGATATGCTTTCCTTTTATGCGAGTTATAGTCCCTCCCACCTACCAACACCTCCCTCAGCACGAACGTCAGGTTCTCCATCGGACCAGATCGACAGGAAGTCGCCATCTTCCTCATCTCGATGAACCAGGTGCGCCACACACACGAACTCCCAAGACTCAACCCTTAATCAGTGGCGCAGAGCGAGCCCATGACTCCGAAGCTATCAACGGGGACGAGGAATCTTCCTTACTCTCCAAAACTTCCAGTCAGGAACAAGACGCCGAAGACCTAGAAAGTTCAAAGCAAATCGAGTCTGACAGAATGCATGAGCATCCGCATTTAGACATCCGAGGTTTCGCTCTCTTGCCCCATGCCGAGTTTTGGCAGTTATTCTTGATGCTTGGCTTGATGACCGGTATTGGTCTCATGACGATCAAGTAAGTCTTGGGTTCTTTTCCTCGACCAGAGCTTGTAACACGGGCTGCTAACATATTCTTCTAGTAACATCGGCAATGATGCCCAAGCTCTTTGGAAACACTACGACCCTTCCACTCCCGAGTCCTTTATCGAAAGCCGTCAAGCAATGCATGTCTCTATTCTTTCCTTCTGCAGCTTCAGTGGTCGTCTCCTATCCGGCATCGGGTCCGACATTCTCGTGGCGAGGCTTAACCGGTCTCGGTTTTGGTGCTTGTTTGCGTCTGCTTTGACATTTTGCGTGGCACAAGTGGTCGCCACGGCTGTGTCGAACCCCCATTATCTCATATTGGTGTCAGGGTTCACCGGCCTGGCCTATGGAATGTTGTTTGGAGTGTACCCGAGCCTCGTCGCACATTGCTTTGGTGTCCACGGTCTCTCGCAGAACTGGGGAACAATGACGCTCGCCCCAGTCATCTCCGGCAACGTCTTCAACATTCTATACGGAAAGATCTACGACGCGCATTCAGTCCGGAATGATGAAGAAGGACACATGGAGTGTCTTGTTGGGAATGACTGTTACCGAACCGCGTACTGGGTGACTTTCGGTGCGTCGGTGCTCGGTGTGGGATGCTGTCTGTGGAGCATCTGGCACGAAAGTCAGGTGCACAAAGCTCAAGGAAAAGACGGAAAGCTAGACAGGAGGAGATCGGACCATGAAAGAGTGGCCTGATTTGAGGTCTGTTTCTAGTGAAGGGGCCATTATTATAGACTATGCTTTTGTCTTTTTTCGCGCGAGCTATCTACCTACTCACATTCTGGGCTGTGTGTGACTAGCATACTTGGACCTAACCTATCTGCATGGGTACGAGTACATTGGATCTAGAGATTCTACGCCAGAGAATTTAGAATTTGGAATGAGCAATGAACAGGGGGGAAAGGGGGGGAACTGGGATGAAAAGGGGGGTGGTGTTTGTAAGGGATTGACAATTTATAAGTATCCAACCAAGCCCGTGTGTACGTATGTACCTACAGTGCCTCTAGTGCCTACAGTATCTGCAGTATCTGCAGTATGTATGTCTGTATACAATATAGGTGTCTATCTACCTACCCAGTGTCTTACCTCGTATCTACCTGACCCACTAGGTACGCAATCACATGCACAAGAACTAGGACGGACTAGCAGTAGAACAAAAGGGCGATTGAGCCTGAGGTACTGTATCTATGTATGTAGGTATCATACGCTCTTGTGCTGACAGCTTGAGATTCAATCCCATACCCATGTCCATACCTTTTCCTGTCGTTATCCCTATTCCTCATACTATCCACGTCCACATCCTCGGAATAATGACGCCAATGACCCTACTGGTTAGAAGCCATGGGAGAAAAAAAAAGCTCGCGCACAGTAAAAAAAAGGCTAGTAATAACAGTATTGAATGGGGAATTTGATCAAAGTGCGCTGATGCACTGTAATACCACCACTCCCGTCAACGCCGCAGGAAGTCCTTCTCGTTCCAGAATATCCTTTCATGTGACACCATGCCAAAGAATTAAGCCACCCGAAACAACCAATCTAGGCCGATTCCAACGACCCTTTTTTACCATAAAAGTGTCTGGCAGTAACCCTTTTCCTAGTGATTCCTCCATTTAGAAAACCCCACCGAATGAAAATGATTTTGCTCCGTGTTCAACTCCATGTTCAACTCCGTCACGCACAACGATCATCACATGTGGTACGTGGCTCGTAAAATCTTCGGGTCATCATCTTGCCACTCCTGAGGCTCAAGCTTTGTCCGGTTCGATGGTGACCCGTGCCACCTCGGCCGCAGCAGAAGCTTCTTCCTGAGCAGCTGTTGTCGGTGCGTTATTTACCGGGGGATTGCTGACTAGGTTAGAGGGTGTGGCAGGGGTATTTGCCGGAGCGGCGGTCAGTTCGCTGATCTGCTTTTCCAGTTCGCGAATCCGCATTCTCAGCATCTGATTCTCGCGAGTCAAGTTGGCGGTCTCTGCCTGGTAAAAGGCAGTCTCGTCGCGGAAACTGTTTCTCCGTGCCGTGCTGATTGACTCGAGGGGCGATGGGGGCCAATCACCACTTGTAGTATTGCCGGTGCTTGAGTCCTGGCCTGGCTGTGGTCGGAGGGCTGGCGAACGGCTTGCGCTAGAAGGTCCGCGCGAGATGCGTCTTGTGAGCGGAGGGACAGTGGGAACTGCGGGGTGAACCGATGGAAAGATTATCGAGCGTTCCGAAGCAGGCGTTTCGTCGTCGACCACTGCGGTGCTGCTGCCAGCCAGAGCCGAGTTGGGTTGTGAGGACTGCCGGGAGTGATGCCCGTTCTGGCCTTGACTGTTTCGGAGTGCGTCAAGTTGCAGCTGTTGCTCTCGGATCATCTGTAGCATCCGATTTACTTGCGCTTCTTGCTCCTGTTCTAGCTCATTATGAATTTCTCCGAGACTGGGCTGACGCTGATGGTGCGGATCGCCTGTGGCAATAGCAGACCTTCCACCTATGGTAGGGGGGCTCGCAGAGGCGTAGCTGTGACCGAACCCGATTCTCGGATCGCTACTGGAGAGTTCGCCGGGACTGGGAATGCTCGGATCGTTCAGGTTGAGGTTCATGGCGACCTGCGAGCGACGACGATCACTGGGCATCCGACCCAAGCGGGGAGAGCCCCTGTTGCTCAAAGAGGACCTCCTGGACTCATTTGCAGCATTTGTCACAGCGGCCGCAGCGAGAGATATGGAAGAGCTTCGAGGAGAAGGGGTTTGTTGGCGGTTGGGAGGAATGGTGGTAGACTGCAGGGAGCGGGGTTGCATCGGTGAGGAAGACATCGATCTGGAGGGCGGAAGAGAGTTTAGGTCTGGAGGAGCCATCACAAAACGAGAGGGACTAGCAGAGAGAGAGGGAGGAAACGATATTAGTAGAAAGGATGTACGGGTAGGGTGGAAATGATTACTGCGGTGGTTGTCATGCCACGACGCAATATCGTCAGGGTTAATCAAGGGAAATGGAGGGGGGATGGCGAAGAGAACAATACAGTGGGCAGCTGACTGGACAAGATGCTTGGCAGAAGGCAATAGAGCTAATAACACAAGGGATAAGTTCTCTAAGGAAGCCTCATTGTATTCGTAATTGCTTAGGCACTGGTCGTGTTGGTTAACCACTGAGTATGTGGAACTAAATGGCCCGGCTGGAGGAGGGAAAACGGGTGAGAAGCATCCTTGTGAAATATGTAGGCAGCTATGACGACGATGGCCTGAGGTTCGGACTTGTAAGCTGAACAGCATGAGGTGGAGAGGGGCGAGGGGCAAGGGACAAGGCTGTGTCACAGGGCTAAGAGACTGGATGCCTGGCACCTTCCGGGCTGTACGAGGTACACCTGTAGGGCTGTTGAGGTGCTACTGGGTGGCACCCAGGTGGCACAAAGCATCCCTATGACTAACCAAAGGCTTGTCCAGGCTTCCAGGGACACCCGCTGCTGCCCGGAAGAGTTTCTTGGGGATGGACGCGGGAAAGGGAACCACTGAGGCGACCTCTCGTGCCTCTCCAACCAATACGTCATTGAAGTCACGTCTCCTCCAGGCAACCTGGAATGCACCCAGGCACCTCGGCCACTCGTCTGCTTGTTGTGCCTCTCCCAGACTTCGCCCCTTCTCGAAATTGAACGCGTTCGAGGAAACAACCACAGTACTCGGTAGTGAGAGAGAGCCAAAGCTACAAAACCAGAAGAACATCGACACTGTGTCCAATCACATCCTCCACCCCAAATTGGCGACCGTGGGCCTGCACTAATACCGGATTGGGAGCTGGTTGTTTACATACTTGGGGAGTAGCTTCACCCTCCCCTTCCTCCCAGCCACTTGGATTTTTACCCGCTTTTGTGCTGGCTGCCCGTCCAACGTCCGCTCCCCCCCAGCCTCCTTCATCATCGTACACCATCACAACATCCGCCACTCATCCATCCCTCCCTCCGATCTCGCCGTCGCATTCCTTTCCTCTGCCTACGTCTCACATACACAATCGCGTTGCGCACATCAAGACGAAAAGATCGCGCACTTGTTTCACAACGTGCCTGTTTGGCTATCATGTCAGGGTTACCATATCTACAGAAACTGCGCAAGAGCGACCTCACCGAGTTCGCCGAGACCAGCAAATTGCCTGAGTACGTCCCTCATCCTCGCGCCTGGTACCGACGCGTCGTTGTCTGAGTCGCATGACCTGGCGCATGCTTGCTGACTAGTATGCGACCGCAGTTATGCTCATTTGAAGAAGGCTGAGCTCGAGATCGCTCTCGACGAACACTTGCGCTCCAACTCGACGACCTACGGCAAGGATCCCTCTTTGAGCGAATACTACAAGCGTCTGGCGAGCAGCTCGCGATCGCCCACCAAGAGAACGGCAGCCGAAAAGGTCTCGGACAGTGTCAAGACGGACGACGATGTCCCTGCTCCTGTAAAGAAGCCGAGAAGGAAGACAACCTCGACCACTCAAGAAGCGTATGTATCGCGGCTCGTTCTCGTCCCCTTGGCCATCGCTGACAATTGCGCTCAATAGAGAGGAACCAGCACCAGTCGTCAATGCGCTCGTCAAGACCCCAGCCAAAGAGGTCGCGCGTCGGACTTCGATTCTGGCCTCCCAGATTCCCATACCGCCCTCGCCAGCCGTCGTCACGGACGCCATTGACCAACAGACGCGTCGCATTCGAACCTCCATCTCCCATGCGTATGAGCAAACTCAAATCCACGAATTTGCTGATGCCACACGCGATATTCTCTCGTCACCTATGACGGTCATCGTGCTCGCCATCCTGCTGGAGGCGTATGGCCTCCGCCCGCAAATCTTGCCCAACAAGCTGTTGACTGAAGTTCCCGCCATCCCGTACATCAAGTCAACCAAGACACCAATCCTGGTGCCAGATCTTTTCCTGCTACTGGATTCCAAGTTCTGGTCCCCATTCTCACTGTGGACACTGACTTCGCTGGTTCTCCCAGCCGCCATTTCGTACTTCATCAATCTACCGCTGAAGGCTCATCCTAGCCACAGTTATTCGACGCGTCGAGCGGCTCTCCAGGCGAACACGCAAATGCAATTCGATCCCTTCATTTTCAGTCTCGCCAAAGGGTTGATTGTATATCTGGTGTATGCCTATCACTACTCCCTGGGTGGGCTCTACAGTAACTATACGATCGCGACCGTCAATGAGAGTATTCCAGGCGGCTACTTTGCTGTGTTGGTCGGGTCAGGCTTGGGCGCTGCGGTCAGCTTGTACGAAGCTGTCCTGAAGAAATAGGGGGTTATGGAATCGATGCGAACCGACAGAGAATCGGTACTGCTAGGGGCTACGCAGTGCCACGAAACATTGGGTCTGGATGTGTAAAGTGCTTAGGGTATTGGGGATGTCCATTTGGGAACACAGGTTGATACGAGTTACGATTATTGTCGGTTGACCATTGACGGCGCTGAGGGTTTCAGGTGGCTTCTACTTCCGAAGTTCCGTTTCCATGAGTTCGGTCGATTCGGCTCTATACCCATGGCGATAATATTGGGGCTGGTGCATGTCTGGTGTCTGCACTGGTGACTGGGTTGGAAAGGTTCATGTTCTTGTTTAGATACAAATCACAATCGCTTTGAAATTGAATTATGCACTTTCAGCATCTCGATCTTGGTAGCTTTCTTTGGGCTTCTTGTAACACTGGTTGATCCTCGACGAATATAATTCAGATGGTTGCACGAGAATAGAGGCGAAGTTTCATTCCAGGCTGCCACTTGGCACAAATGAATTAATACACCAGGATATGTACGATGTAATACATACCTCGTACCCTGACCATGTAGGCGATTGCCCCGCAGACCGTGCGAAAGGGGCCAATTTCTCGTGGAACAGTCAGTCAAGACCGGCCTTTCTTGATCTTCAGGCAGCCAGGTGCGGGATTCAAGGTGATGTGATATCAATCTTGTCTCTCACGATTGCACCATCAATTCGACGTTGAACAATCTCTTCTTTCAGGTCATCACCGTCTCGGTGGAAGGGATTCCATTTCCGCCTTGTCTACGCGCTCCCCAGTCCGTGCAGCACCATCATGGATCCTGGCACGGTGTTCTCTGTTCTTGAGATTGTGGGCGCCGTGGTGAGACGCCTCGTTGAGGCTGGTCAGACTATGCACGATGCGCCAGAGGGTCTGACGCGAGTAATCAACGAGACGGAGAAGCTTCGGGCGCTGCTGGACCGGCTCTTGATCTTTCAACGGGCCCTTCCTCAGGAACAGCGAGACATCCTCGACAAACAAGTGAACACGACCGAATGGAGAGATCTTCTGACAGATCTGGACAATCTCACGTCTGGCAGGAAGCCCGGAGAGACTGGATCCGGAGGTGGAGGAGGGGAGAAGATGAAGCTCGCTGACCGGTGGTGGTGGCTCCGGAGGAAAGACGTCGTCGAGGACAAGGTGAGGAAATTGCAGGAACAGACCGAATGGATCTCGAAGCGGCTCGTCAAGTATTTCCATCATTTTTCTTCCCTCGTTCAAGCTGCGCCAGGTGGAGAAAGAAACTGACCAAGAACAAATACATCTTTTTGTACAGCGAGTATCTCTTCGAACACCACCAACAGCTCTCTCAGAATTCTAAACAAGTCTCCCAGATACTGGACTTGATCATGTCCGTGGCGCTCAAGTTGAACTCGGACAATCTGCCCTCGCCTCGATTCGACGACAACGGCGTATACTCTCCCTACAAGGCCGAGGGGATCGCCTGGTACGGGCAGTACCGCTGCAAGCCCGGCCAGGATCTCTCCATGCCCTACTTCCGCGACCGACGACTGCTGGCAGAGAGAGCCTGGGTTGGCAACTGGAATGGGGTGATGGAATTGCTCGGGATGGCTCGCAAGGAATACAGGCAAAATTGGATCAATTGCCCTCCTATTTGTACGCCTCCAAGACCTTCCATATGTGCCATTCGAAGCTTATACTGACTTGTCTCTCTAGACAAAGCGACCGAGCAACACAAAATCACCAGTGGGTTTAGACCCCTTCACCAAGCCGCGTGGCACGGTGACAAGTCAGCCGTGGAATCTCTGTTAAAAGAAGGAGCCTGGCGTGAGTGATGCAGCGTTTTTGCACGTGGTATGCTTTGGGACACGGCTGATTTACTCTGGTCAGGTCTCGTGAGAACTTCGCGAGCGACCAAAGATTCGACCGAACACAGCACGCCACTGGACGTTGCCCGAGACCACGGGTGGAAAGATCTCTACGACAATCTCAGCCCAGTCATGAGACGGCCCGTGAGCCACAAGACCCTGCACACCCTACAGACGCACCTTCACGACTTGATCAAAGACACCTTCGGCGGCCACCCCGACGCGCATCTCGACTGTTTTCTCCTCCCGGAGCTGGAAATCCTGACCGAGTTTGAGCGGTCGCGCATCTGGTTCCCCCTGAACCCTGAACTGTCGGACACAAGGGACGGGCTCGCCGTCCACATCATCCTGGAGCGGAACGAGCTGGTTGCCGTTATGCGATGGGATAAAATCAAGAGGAGGACCTATCGGATTTCCACGTCAAAGGTCCAGGAGATCCAGCAAGCCGTTGTCCTTCGCTAAGTGAACCCTCACCGAAAAGTAAATAGAAGGGACTAGTCAGCGGCGGTGGCAAGCTGATGATGTGGTCATCTTTCTATGGGTGATGACGGGATGTCCCAAGAGACCCAATACGGGGGATGATTGCACTTTGCTCCCCAATACTCTGGGTGGGACTAGTTGAGGCTCGATAATCTATATCTCACATGGTTTTTATTCGATTACAGGACAGATCCGAAGACCACATGCTACTTGAGGCTGTCGTATACAAGCATCAGTTGGGAGATACTCTGAAGTTACAATACCTGCGCCTGTCATCCTCCTCGATGTGATTGTAGATAAATGGTATGTCGATGCAAGAGTTGACGCTGCTTGGACCAAATCCGCAATTCTGGGTGAACCAGCCTCGCCAGAATCAACCTCAAGTAGGATAAGCGGTGAAAACCCAAGGATGCAGATAGGGCGGCATCATTTTGTGCCAAAAACAGGGGGAAGGCCCACGAACTACTCATCTTGGCATGCTTGGCAAGGCTACGGCATCACAGCCTCGTCCCAATACCAAGTGCCCAGTAACTTTATGAGTTGTTCTTGGATACTCTTCCGGACAGGAAACACTGTGCTCGACAGTAACCACACAACCCGGAGAGATGCCAGCCCCCGACAATATTTACGAGAACGATGTCGACTTCACGACGCTGGCGCTGCAATATCCCGATTTCGCCAAAAGGTAGGGACGTCAAGATCCCCAGGCTCAGGCCCCAGAGCACGATGGATCGGACGAGGCAATTCAACTTCGTTATTTCTGTCTCTCTCCGTCGTCGTCAGTACATTGTGGCGGGACAAATAAGTTTCCGTTTCAGCTAACGTCTCTGATGTCCAAGGCTAAAATCTAATCGCCAACTCGACTTCTCTGACCCCGAAAGCGTCAGGTATGTCGATCGAATGGAGTAGTGTCTGGCTTTGTTGGAGTCTATCTATTGCTGCATTCTTCTCTCCTCCCTGACTTCGGATGACGTTTCTCCAGACAATTGACCAAATGCCTCCTTCATCGAGACTTTGATCTCACCGTCGACCTTCCGGAAGATAGGCTGTGCCCGCCTGTACGTTTACATCCCCGCGCTTTAGGGGTGGACTGATGTCTCTCTGTGCCCGTTGATCCCATAGACAACCACCCACCCGATGGTGTTATTGATGTTGACGTTGGTGACAAATACACAGGTCCCCAATCGGTTCAACTACATTCTCTTCATCCAGCGTCTGCTGGACAGCACCTCTCCTTCTTTCCACCAAGGTTTCGACCCTGACAGACAGGTGATCGGACTCGATATGTGTGTAACTTTTCCCGTTCCCGTTCCTATTTTCATCTAATACCACCCTTGTATAGACCGTCCCCCACTTACTTTTGTCTCTGTATCTCTCCATCTAGAGGGGATATCTGTTCGCTGGCTAACTCTTGTTGTCGAGCGCGTTGTGAAAAAGCGGCACAGGGGCATCTGCAATTTACCCGCTTCTTGCTTGCCGACAACGCCCTCAATGGCGCTTCCTGGCTACAGAGATCGACGGGAAGAACCGCGAGTACGCGCAGAGAAACATCGTCGCCAACAAGTTACAGGCACGCATTAGACTGGTCGACACGGACGTCAAAGGAGATCGGCTAATCCCCACGACCCAACTTGAGAGGTTTGACCGGTACGTGGAAGATGCCTGGTCCAGCATTCCTGCCTCCCCCCTTTGTCGTCTAAAGGTGAAGAGATGAATTTACCTAGTTATTTGACTTTGCTGAAGGCCTTTTTTTTTGTGTGTGTGTCTTACAGAATTGACATCCTCCTCACGAACCCGCCTTTTTATGACTCGACAGAATCCCTCGTGGACTCCGCTCGCCAAAAATCCCGCCCGCCAAACTCAAGCTGCACCGGCTCGGCGGTGGAAATGATCACCCCCGGCGGCGAGGTCGGCTTTGTCTCCAAACTCGTCGCCGAATCACGCCTCCCGGCGAACAAGATGAAGATCCAGTGGTTCAGTGCCATGCTGGGGAAGTTGTCGAGTGTGGGGGCCGTCGTGGAAAGCCTTCGGGGCAGCGGATGCGGGAACTACGCGGTGACCGAGTTCGTGCAGGGCCAGAAAACGCGGCGGTGGTGCGTCGCCTGGAGCTGGATGGGGTACCGACCTCCCAACGACGTGGCGCGGTCCGTGGGCAGCGGGAGCGGCGTCGAGAAGAAACTGTTGCCTCCGATCACGGAGACGGAGTTCGAGGTTGAGGTGCCAGTACGAGGAGGAGACGGCCCGCTGAGCGTGCTCGACAGGGTCGCCGCGGAGATTCAGCGCTTGGACGGGGTGCTGTGGAAAATCGATCGAGCCAGTGGTGTGGGGATGTTTATGGCCAGGGACGGAGACGTGTGGAGTCGCAAGGCTCGGAGGAGGAAACAGGAGGCTGAGCGTGAACACGGAAGTGAATCTCAACCTCGCGCGAAGCGGGTTGCGAACGAGCACGCAAGAGGGAGCAAACACGACGCAGACACAGACATGAAGGACGACGACGACGAACCCGAACCAGAGCCCGCCCTCGTCGTGCGCATCTCCATTTCGCCCTCTCCTCCTTCTAGTTCTCGCTCTGCCTTTCGCGGCGCCGAACGACCCGACGACACCCCGTCCACGTCCACACCCACGTCCACACCCACGTCCACACCCACGTCCACACCCACGTCCGCACTACACACCCAGAATCAGATCCACATGCGCCATCTCCAGGGTGAGGATCCCGTCCTCTTTGAGAGTTTCTGCGGCTGGCTCAAGCGGAAGATGGTGGTGGCGGCGTGATCGATCACTTCACTTCCATCGAGCCATCCGACCGACCAACCAACCAGTCAAGCTTTGTTTTTCCATTCTCCTCCTATTGTATCGTAATGAAACGAAACGCAGAGGCAAAGTGAAGGGGAAAAGAAAGACCAATAAAATAAGCAGGACAGGATGAGACAACGAACGTCATTCCGCAATGAACAAACACATTCCCATTTCTCATTCTCATTCTCATTCTCTCTTTTTCTCAATGGCCTTTCCTCTTTGATATACAGAGGGCACAAATTCTCGTCTCATTTCGTCTAGTTTAGTTCTGGCCCAGGGGCCCGAGATTCTAATTTTATGCAAGGCTGAACTGACTGGTACAGATGGAGTCGAGTCCATCCCGTGTTCCCCGTGGTAAAGTACAGGAAATGCCAGAGAAAGATAAGATGCTCACGCATTGGCATCTTGGGCCACAAAATATTTGTGTAGCAATGGACACATCTCTGAAAAACCCTCCACCAAGTAAACCGCCATCTTGTCAAAAAAGCGTCGAGGCATAAATGGTCTGCCTGATCCTCCTCGCCCTGGCCCTCCTTCTCCCAGTTCTCCCGTCTTTTATACAGGCCCCGTTCTGCTTGTTCGACTTCCCCTCCTCCCACCACTCTGTGAGAGCTCCAAGCCCCGGCTCAACTGACTTGGACTGGTGGGTGCGGCGCCAATACTGCCATTTCGCGTCGAACTGACGCTGCCGTCCCTTCCCCTCATAAGAACCAGTTCAGGCATGTTAAACTTGACCTCTCCCACGCGGCGGAACATGCCCCAGAGTGCGTTGCGCAGCTCGGAGCCGATTTCTTTTTCTAACAAGCCCACGGCAAGGGGGTAGAATGTGTCGAGGTGCTTCTCAAAGCTGTCCTTGGGGAAGTTCGTGTACCCCTCCAGGACATCAATGACGACGGGCCTCCATGCGACGATGTTTCGTTGTTGAGTTTCCTCGTCCAGGAGAATGAAGGAGCGGATAATGTCGGCGCACAATCTTGAAGTCACCATGAAATTAGCAACAGATCGAAACCCTCAGGAGAAGACAATAACTTACGGTATCAGGGCACCTTCGGTTTGATCACGACTTGACCTCCGCTCTTCCCCTTCGTCATGATACATCCTGAGGAGGATACTAACATATGTATTCGCCGACCCGGATTCTTGCTTCAACAAGTTTGGTGGTTGTCGCATGAACCCTTGTCTCCAAAGAGCCATGCGGAGGTCTTTGTCACCATTGAACTTCTTGGCGAATTGATACGACTTCTTCAAGAGCGCCATCAGGCGCAGGAGCTCCGATGAGGGGATTTGGGCATAGACCGAGTCGTTGGAGAAGAGCTCTGCGACGGTCTCAATCATCAGCAGCTGGAGGACGCAGTTGGTGATGATCTTGTTGAAGAACCGTCGGCGGGCAGCCGTCACCACTGGTGCAGGTGCTTGCATATCTGAATGTGGGCGATAGTCCTCCAGCTCCTGAGTGCTCTGGGCTGCGGGAATCTCAGAAATATGGGCTGCCGAGCTTACTTGCGATTCCAAGGAGGGAGTTGCACCATGAAAAGATGCGGGTGCCCCATTCGTCGTCGGAGTTTCAACAATCGTGGTTCCAGAGATAGATAGACCCTCGGATCCATCGTGGCCTGGAGAAGGTCGAGCATCAGACATCGTTGCTGCGGCCGAGAACAGTTCATAAGCTGTCGTCCGGTTGAAGAGCTCGACGAATGCAGTCACAATTCGTGACCAATGCTCGGGAGAGAATTTCGTGACGTTCTGGAGAATCAGTTGCTGGAGACAGTTGCTTCCTATTCGAGCAATGGTGTCGTTTTCTTGACATATGCACAATGTGAGAAGATCCAGAAAGCGGTCAAGCATGTGTTCTAGTGAGTCAAAATAATGTGTGAAGAGTGTGATCATGTTTCGAAGAGCTTGGATCATTGTCGTCGACAGCCATACTGACAGTTCCTCGTGGTTGGGGGCCTTTGACATCTCCGACTTGCTTTGCAAGACGACAAAGATCGGGTATAGTAATTGGCGCCAAAGGACATCCCAGAACTCGGTAGGAAAATCACCGCCATATCTGATCAGCGTTTCAAACAGATAGGTGAGAGCTCTGGACCGTACTTCAAGATCCTCGCCCGTCATCAGAACATCCTGGTATGCAATCAGGACCGGGTACCAGAACTGTTCCTCCTCGGTCTGTGAGGTAGGTTGCTTGACGCCTGCTACCACGCCCGATTCCTCGTACTCAGGGATCTTGCCGTGGCGTCTGGAAAGCGGACATTCTGGCGTTTTCAGCATCTTTGGTACCGTCGACTTGAGCAGTTCGATCGCCTGCAGTGATTTCTTCTGGAACTTGAGGTTCTTGGAGAACTCGGTCAGACAAACAACCAGATCAGGAAACGAGCCTTGCGAGATGACCACGCCGAACCGGGTATTGTAGATCTGATTGGTGTAGTCGAAAGCGATGTTGACAATAGCCTCATACTGTTCTCTGGCAGCAACTGAGAAGACGCCAAACATGGTCTTCCACCCGGACCTGATGTTGTCCCCCCGCGCTTGGATCATCTGGATCAAACACCTCAAGACCATGTCCTTGACCGTGACAACGGTGCTGTTCGCCATCACATGCTCAAATGGCTTCAAGAAGTCTTTTTGGAATTTGAACCCGGGCAGCTCCTCGATTTCCATGAACCTCATGGAGAGCTGGCGGAGAGAATCCAGGGCGAAGAAGACCACCGCGGTATTGTTGTGGCAGCCCACTTGGTTGAAGTGCTCCCCGAGCACCTCCCAGATCCTGGTCCATTCTATCCTGACTCTGGTCATATTGTAATAGCTGATTTCCACAAGCTTTTGGAGACTATACATCCGCGGAGCCTCGCTATTTCCAGAAGACTGGATCTCTTGCCAACTGACGTCGCTCAATGCCTGGACGAAGTCGACAATCGCCTCAGACGATAGCTTGGCAGTGTTGGTGAATATCCGGTCGACCCCTCGGACCATGTCTGTAGACTTGGTTTCATCCGCAACTTCTGGTCGGAAAGTATGCGCAGATCTCGGTCGCGGTCGTTTGACGGCTTGCATCGATCGGCGACTTCTGGTCCCGTCCCTCGAAGAACCTGAGGGTGTGGAAATGTTGGCCCGTGTAACATCCGGGATGACCCCTTCATCGATCCCGGTGGAGAGGAGCTGTAGTCTGTCGAGTTGGCTGATGCACGTCAAAACCTCCCGCCAGGAGGATTTCAAGAGATCACCCTCTGTCAAGGCAACCTCAATGAGCACCTTCAACGCCTCCAAGTTCTTGGCCATCATTTCCTTGAGATTACCCAGGTTGGTGAATTTGGCCAGCGCCGTGACAAATGCGACTCTGGGCGTCTCCAAGTCAAACCTGCAGGCGATTCTGATAGCCAACCTCAAGCCGTCTAGGCACTGCCTGATCAGATCTAGGTTCTGTGCATCCTGCATCTGACTGGAAAAGGCTGAGAGGAATGACATCCATGTCACGTTGAACATGGGGCCCACATGCTTGATCGAGGTCGCTGGAATGAATCTTGACAGCGCCTCCCGGACTGCGGAACGCTTCTGCGCCCTGATGAGGCTCCGATATAACTGCTCCGTCTTGTTCGCCATTTCCTCGGACGCCTGGGTGTATTTTTCTTTTTGCAGGTCTCTGCCGACATTGGCCAGCGCTTGACCTGCCCTTGAGGCAAAACCCGTACTTGTAGCAGCAGCAATCCCCAATTCAGCAGCGTGTACTCGCTCAGAATCCAGGACGATTTCATTGTTGGAAATTTCTTCGAAGATGCCACTCAGATATTCTGCGGGAAGATCCTGACCGTCGTTGATTCCCCTGTTATTCTTGATGAAGTCGTCCACAGTCATTCTAGCACCTTTCACCTTTGCACTGTGTTGATCTGTGTTTAACATGATGACCGAATATGCAAGTACATAAGCAGTGTCAGCATTTGCAAATGCATTTGGATTACCACTGAGGTAACGTTCAGCGAACTTCAGCATGAAGCGATCGATCTTTTGTGCTTCTCCGGGTAGGCGGAAACTTTGTAGGAACTGCCGGAGGGCATCGACAAACCGCCTCTTGCTGAAGTCCATCATGTCCACGAAAGCATGCATGATGGCAACGTTCTTCTCATCGCCTTCGCCGAGGTACTCTCCTAGCATTGCTTTGTCTAGTCTGTCATTTGCATACAAGAACTTGGCAATATCCTGAGGGTTGTCGCTGCGGATAAATCCTTCGGCCAAGAGCGCTTTGATTCCTCGTTTTGGCTTAAAGTTGAATTGTCGGATGGCCTCGTTGAGAGCGAACTTTCGCATTCTCACTTTCTCGACTTCGGTTGGGTCATCCTCTACCACCGGTGTGGTGATCCCTGAGTCGCTACCTAAGCCTGGAGCGCGAGGCGACGGAGGTGGCTTTTCGCTATAGTCCAATGACTCCCTAGAGTCTTCATATGAACCCCTTGACGCTGGATATCTAGATCCATTCATCTGTTCCGGGCTCCCTTGACTCGACCAATTATCGAGCGAGTGAAGAATTTCAACTAGACAACGCAATGATTGCTGCTTCAAAGCATACTCAACCGGTACTGTCGGCGGAGGAGGCGAATGATGACTTAAGCTTGCTGTCGATAGCCCGGGAAGTAATGCGCCCCGTGAATGCCATTCAGAGACCGGCGTTGCTGGTTTTGTTTGCTGTTCTTGGTATTGGTGTTGTTGGACAGCAGTGACTACAACGGGTGTGCTGCAGATCCGGGATAGATGTTCAATGATTTCTTGGTACATGTTGTCCAGGGCCGTCCGGTCGCAGTCGTAATTAAGGTAGATCTCAACAAGAGCACGAGGATCGCCCGAGAGCCTTTCCAAAACGTCCATGAACATTTGCTTCTGAAAAAGTGGCGCATTTCGCCGTTCCAATACTGCAAGATAGACCTCTTTTAGGAAAACCTCAAGTTCCTTTTTCAGCAGCACACGCATGTGCTTCAGCGAAAGCCAAAATATTTCGCAGCATACCTCGTAAACCCTCGGAACTGAGCTCGCTGCGTTCCGGGAAAGACTGAGACACAAGTGAGGTTTGGCCACTTGCAAGAATGGCGTGGGCTCCGCGTTGTTGCCACTCTTAATATTCGAGAACGAAGATGTAAAGACTGTGGTGTAGTTGTTGATGACATGATAAATCAAATGTAAGGATAAGAGCTTCGAGCGCATGTTTTGACTCCGAAGATCCTGCTGCTGATCGTAGGTCAAGACTTTCTGACTTAGTTTGCACAGCGAACGAAACACCAAGAAGGCATCTTTGATGTAGACGTCGTCTTCATCCTCGGGAGATAGCTCCGTCTCGTCGCGTTCTTCCTGCAAGCTGGATCGAGATACCGGAGCGGAACTCGTGCGCGTGTTTTTGCGCTCTCGTCTGACACGCGTGACGGTCGTTGGAGCGCTGTCAGCGACAATTGCATCGTCGAGGTTCTTGTGGTTCTCGAAGCTTTGCAGGGTCAGTTTCTCCTGGCCAGGGGACAACCCTTCTGCAAGTTGCGGAGGAGTCTCATGGTCTGGAGTGTCCACCTGTCCGTTCATGCCGTTCACACCGCCGTGGCCCAGCATGGATGTCTCTGCAGACAAGGCTTCGTCCGTCTTCGCTTCGTTGCTTTCCCTTAGTCGTGCCTCCTTCAAGTCCAGACGAACTCTAACTCTTTCAAAAACCGTGGCAATCATCTGGAGCAGAGATCCCTGGGCAACCTGTTGATTTTGGCTGGATTTAGAATAAATAAAAATGTTGTAGATTTGGCGGACGGCTTTCAAGAGACCTGCGCCGTGCACGACGATCTTGTCGTCAAGGACAGCTGCGAGCAATGACTTGATAATCTGTTGCTGAATTTCCACCGCAGTAGCTTCGTTTTCAAAGCAGTCACAGATCGCCTCAATCGCTCTTTCAATGAGAGGAGGAGTGTCCGGTGACCCTGCTTGGCTGGCTGCGACAGCTGGAAATGCAAAATATGAATAGCTGATCAGTTTTCCAATGCAATCCAACGCCGTCACCTGCAGAGGGATCGTAAACGACTTGGTTGCCATCTGTAACGGGCGGAATAGGATCTCTGGATTGACTGCCTGTTCCGTGCTCTTGATGTTTGACAAAGCGGCCTGAACAGCATCTGCAAATTCCTTATTCCTGCGGACTTCCTTAGCTGCGCCGATCGTTTCAAGAGCACTGACTACGAAGACAGTGGAGTTGACCTGCGGTGGACGTGCTGTTGCCGTTGTATGTCGTCGCTCCACTACATCTGCGTGGCTCTCCGTCGAAACTGCTGCGGGGGCTCCTCTGGGATCTGGTTCATCCTGGTGTTGGGCCGGACGCTCCTCTGGTCTTCTCGAACCGTCATATCCAGCATCCAAAGGCGCATCCTCGACACCATCTGTTCGGGGAGCCTGTCCCGACTCTTCCCCAGTTCCGGCACCGTTTTCAGAGTCCTGTTGGGACTCTTTCACCACCGAGGCATCATCTTCAGAGACAGCCTCGCTGCTCCCGGCTGGTGATCCATCTTCCGCATCCGCATCCTCGACGGTTATTGTTACCCCATGACTTGATGGCTCGTCCGGGTCGATCTCGTCGGTGGAAGCCACCTCATGTCCGGGCACAGTGGCCTCAGCCTCGTCTTCCGAGATAGGCTCTGATTGTAAGTCGTGGTCCGGGTGAGTGTCGACTTGAGGCGGCTCACTCTCGACGCCAGACATTTGGCCGGGCGCGGAAAGGAGGATGATGGAGCAGACGGAGGATTATGGATCACCTGAAATCGGGAGGGAATGTTGGACACATTGCAGTTGTAGGGTCGACGCAAGAAACTAAGGAATGATGGTTGCGGGTTCGATCTATACCAATCTTCGTTGTGGTGTTGCCAGGAATAATCAGTGCCTGCTCACATCTGTCAAATGCTGCGGAGAGTCAGGGTGTATGTAGCCAAGTAGCATTAACCCTCCAGGTCCTCCCTTGGGGACAAGGTGTTCTGCGTTTAGGTATAGAGACCAATGGCGCTGCTTACGTGGTTGCAACGGGCGGACTGAAGTCAAGCTGCACCAGCTGGAGCTTTTGCCCTCCGGAGCTCCAATCGTTGGGTCTGACTAGCCTAGGGAGCGGCCCCCCAAAAAAGCTGTCACCCGCCTGGTCTCTCCCTGCCATTTCGGAAACCGGAGTGGAGTTGGGACTTTGTTGCTCAACCCATTTTCTTAGCTGCCACCAACACTCCAACGATCCTTTATATCTTGCAACCTTCATTGCCGAAAGGACCGTCATCTGTCAGGGTTCTCTTCTATCTCTTTTCTCTTCCTCGTCGCTCCTTTGTCCTCATCGAGCCCTCCCAGACTGCGGCCCGAATTCCTCCTTTCCGCCGCCGCTGGTGCTTCCCAATGGCGACCTCAACGCTGTTGGCCCGCTCAGGGTCACGCATCCTGCTTCAATCCTCCGCGAGCTCAAGAGTTAGCAAGAGTGCCTTGCAAAGACTACAGAAATCAGCAGGGTACAGGATGCACCCTGAAGAAGCGCACACATTCATTAATCTACGTGTACAGAGCCCAGCCGTTCCCCTGTCTGTCAGTGCTAAGCCGCTACTATGCATCGAAATGTGCGCCTCGATCCTACGATTTTCCTTGCGTGGCGTGAATATGACTGACACTGCCCGATAGCATTTCCCCCTCATACTGTGATCAGTATGCCCGCACTCTCGCCCACCATGTCCGCTGGCAACATTGGCGCATGGCAGAAAAAGGTCGGGGACACGTTGGCTCCCGGAGATGTCCTTGTCGAGATTGAAACAGACAAAGCTCAAATGGATTTCGAGTTTCAAGAGGAAGGTGTACTTGCCAAGATTCTCAAAGAGACGGGCGAAAAGGACGTCGCAGTGGGAAACGTAAGGCACCTGTAATCACAACTCTGGTGCAGACGTACTAACACAAAACCAGCCGATTGCGGTGATGGTCGAGGAAGGAACAGACGTCTCGGCATTCGAATCCTTCACTCTCGAAGACGCCGGCGGCGACAAAGCACCTCCGCAGGAGAAACCAGCAGAAGAGACGTCTGAAGCCACGGAGAAGCCAGACTCGGGTTCTGGTACAGCACCTCCTGCCGGAACTAAAGAGTCTAAGCCCGAAGCTGTCGAAGCTGACACCACAGGCGAGAAGCTCCAGTCCGTGCTGGACAGGGAGCCAGTCATCAGTCCTGCTGTCAAAAAGCTGGCTCTGGAAAAGGGTGTTCCTATCAAGTCCGTCAAAGGCACTGGTCCTGGAGGACGGATCACCCTTGCCGACATTGAGAAATATAAACCTGCTGCAGGCACTGGACCTTCCGCTGCAGCTGGCCCATCTTACGAGGACATTCCTGCAAGCTCGATGCGCAAGACCATTGCTACACGACTGCGCGAGTCCATGAACCAAAACCCTCACTATTTTGTCTCGACAACTCTCTCAGTAACAAAACTGCTTAAGCTGAGAGAGGCACTCAATGCTGCTTCTGAGGGCAAGTACAAATTGTCCGTCAACGATTTCCTGATCAAAGCCTGCGCCATTGCATGCAAGAAGGTGCCTGCTGTGAACTCTAGTTGGAGAGAAGACGGTGGTCAGTCCATCATTCGTCAACACAACACAGTGGATGTGAGTGTTGCTGTAGCCACTCCCGTTGGCTTGATGACCCCCATCGTCAAGAATGCCGACAGCATTGGTCTCTCCGCAATATCAAACTCTGTCAAAGACCTTGGAAAGCGAGCACGAGATGGCAAGCTCAAGCCAGAAGAGTATCAGGGTGGCACATTCACAATCAGCAATATGGGCATGAACCACGCGGTTGAAAGATTTACTGCGGTAATCAACCCGCCACAGGCCGCTATTCTCGCCGTTGGCACCACTCGCAAGGTTGCTGTCCCGGTCGAGACAGAAGAGGGCACGGTCACTGAATGGGATGACCAAATCATTGTCACTGGCAGCTTCGACCACAAGGTTGTGGACGGGGCCGTGGGAGCTGAATGGATCAAGGAATTGAAGAAGGTGGTGGAGAACCCCTTGGAGATGATGCTGTGAGAGTGATTGTCGGGTTTGGCTGGATTTAGCGAGGCGGATGCAGGACTGGCTTGTACAAAATTATTCTCCCTTGCTTCTTTGGCAAAAGTTCCGCCTACATTTGTGTTTGTCCTTCAATGCTACTAATTGAACTCTGGTCAACGCGGTGAGAGCCTTTTGTCATAATGCTAAGGGACGGAGAACAGCTTTGGATGGAAACAACTGGAGGAGCTTCTTTGTGCCACCTATCCTGACCATGGTATCATGGTTGAGAACAGTACATGAAAATAGCGACATGGTTCATGGCATTATTGTTGGAACTTGACATCTATTCCCTAATCCCAACAACTCCCAACGAGATGGTGGCGCTCTATTTTGCTCGGCAAGGCTGTCGAATCGGAGCGCTCTGGGTTAATCGGCCGAGCAAGGCTCGCCAAGTCCCGACAAAGGCCGAATTTGTGAGGGCTAAAGTTTTTGGTGAGAGATGAGGGCCTTGCGCTGATCTGGTTGCGGCGAAGAACTCACTTCCTCATCGTGATCCCTCAACTTGCTTCCCACTGATCATTCTTTTAACCTGCGACTGTGTGTAATAAAAGGGCTCCAGAGCCCTCCATGAGCCTAACTTCACGTCTTTCGAATTGGTTCTCCTCAGACAGCTCCGTCGGAAATCCTGCGATCGGAGTCCAGCACAATGGCTATGCGGAACCAGACTTTGATCTCGACGGCGCACGACAGAATAAACGGCCGCGGACAATGGAGAGACTGGAAGAGGAGGAGACCGACTTGGAACTGAAAAGACCCCCATACCTCCATGTATGTTACAAGCACTCAATGCCAGCCCTTGAGCCGGGCCGCTTTTGCTAATGCAGATTGACAGTCGATGCTTGCCGGAGGCATAGGCGGCACGACAGGCGATATTCTCATGCATTCTCTAGATACTGTAAAGACGAGACAGCAGGGAGACCCCCACTTCCCCCCAAAATATGCCTCATTGTCCGACTCCTACATCAAGATCTTCCGGCAAGAGGGTGTGAGAAGAGGTCTTTACGGAGGCTTTACTGCGGCAATGTTGGGCTCCTTCCCAGGCACAGTTATCTTTTTTGGGTCTTATGAATATTGCAAGCGACATATGCTGGATCGTGGTATCAACCCGTCTATATCATATCTCGCCAGTGGTGCGCTCCCACCCCCCAGTCCGTGGTATTGCTGCGCACGTGCTCATGTGTGATTCTAGGTTTTCTTGCCGACCTTGCGGCGTCCATCGTGTACGTTCCGTCCGAAGTGCTAAAGACCCGGTTGCAACTGCAAGGTCGATATAACAACCCTTTTTTCAATTCCGGATACAACTACAAGTCAACGTGGGATGCAGCGCGGACAATAGCTAGGACAGAAGGATTTGGAGCATTATACTCCGGATACAAAGCCACCATTGTCCGTGACCTACCGTTCTCGGCACTACAGTTTGCATTTTACGAACAAGAGCGCAGATTTGCTCAGAGCTGTATGGAAACTCAAGATATTGGACTGGGGCTGGAAATCTTCACTGCTGCTTCGGCGGGTGGTGCGGCGGGTGTTATAACCTGCCCACTTGATGTAGTAAAGACCAGGACACAGACTCAGATCAGCCCGAATCGTGCGAAAAACAGCCAGACTTCACATCGAGAAACCCCAACCACAAGCAGCCAGAAAGCGGGCACCAAAAATCCGACGCAGACAAGACTGATCCATTCGGGGCCTCGAACAGTGCCGCATACCACTCCTACACTCGACACCTCTTCTGTCATGGAAGGGCTACGCTTGATATACAAAACTGAGGGTGTTGCCGGCCTGTTCCGTGGAGTTGGACCCAGGTTTGTTTGGACGAGTGTCCAGAGTGGAACTATGCTTGTCCTGTACCAATATTTGTTGAAACAAATGGAGCAGTTTCGATCTCAGGAAGGGACGGGAGTGATGTGAAGAGATCTCTATATAGGCTGGGTATGGTTCGGCAGGGCCATGACCCTTTGAAGATGGATTGGTGGATGGATTACATACCTGGCATTTGCAGGCGTTGAGATATAACGTGCCACAGCCACTATACCAGGCTCGGATGGCCGGGAATACCCCCCTTAAGTATTTTAGAGAAGAGGACGGAAGATAGACTGTACACTACCGAAAGTCACATTTTCAACTCTGGTGCTGCGCGAGGCCCAATACGAGTTTACGGAGTACATGCAAGTACTTGGTAAGTACTTGTACTTGTATGGTGACACCAGACCCAAGCTGGGGAAGATCCAGGGGTAGGGACAATCAGCAACGACTAGCCACCAATGGGGGCTCCCCAGCGTAGGGCACTGGGCTTGCTGGGCTGCCAGTGGCTACTAAATGTTCCGCGTTCTTGTTGATCTCCAATCAAACCGGCGCCAGGCTCCTTCCGTGCCCGCCCCAAGACGGAGCTTGGCATGCTTCTCCACTGCGGCCACTGCAGCCACTGGTGCCCCGTTTCTCAAGCCTCGAACAGCAACGAGCGGCCATGGCAGTCGTGTCTCCTTTTTTCCCACTTGTCCTGGTCCCCTGGTTCACGGTTTCCACCAGGAATTGATTGAGAGGCCACACTCGCTGCAGTCCAACTTCACACGACGTTTCTACCTCTTCCTTTTCGTGCACCCATCCATTTGGCTTCTTTCTTCTTATTCTTGCGCATCAGATTCAACTTTCTTACGCTCGCTTGGAACCCTCTGTGGACATTTCAGCAGACCCCTGCAATTGACCAGGTGAGTTTCGCAGCATCTTTTTTTATACCACGGGGAATTCTTCACGGCCCTCAAATTCCCCTGGGCGCAGGCAATCCACCGTGACCAGCTCCATCGAAAGTCCCCCCCCAAGAATCGCGATCATCGAGACTTCTTTATATCCTGGGCGCGTGCTGACGGTGTTCCTCTTGCAGTTCTCTTTGTTCAGTTGTGCCCCGTGTCGCCCGCACAAACCACGTCGTCTGACCAAACATGGGTGAGCATTCATCATCGTCCTAATTCCTTCATATTCACATACACGCCTGCAGCCGACATCTCCCTTCTGCTGCCCCAAAGCACGTCTTCTGTCAATCGTGCCTCTGCTACGATAGGGGATACAAGTGTGGTCGATATGAATGTCAAGAACAGTCTTGGTCCAAGGCCGACCCAAGACATTCCTGCCTATCGTGGACCCCGAGGAGATGGAGATGACACTTCCCTTGATACTCAACACACACCTGATAGCATACGGTCTACCAACATGACTGACTTGAGCGAAAATGCAGCTGCCGTTGCGAATGGCGTCCGGTCTTCTCCCTCTCCGAACATATCCAATGGCAAACCTGCGTCCCCTTTTGTGAAGGAGAGCAATCCCATGGGGGCCAACACCGCCCAGACCGTCAGCTCCAAAGATCCAAAGGCTGCGGCTGCGGCAGCAAATGATATGCGTAACGTGGTTAGGAGAAAGTTGACAGGCTATGTTGGATTTGCAAACTTGCCAAATCAATGGCACCGTAAGAGCGTCAGAAAAGGCTTCAACTTCAACGTGATGGTCGTGGGTAAGTACAATGCACATGTCGCGATCCGAGTTCATATGCTCACAATTTGCAGGTGAATCAGGATTGGGTAAATCCACCTTGGTGAACACTCTATTCAATACTTCTCTATACCCTCCACGTGAACGCAAAGGTCCCAGCTTGGACATCATCCCCAAGACTGTCTCTATCCAGTCAATCAGTGCCGACATTGAGGAAAACGGAGTGCGTCTGCGTTTGACCGTGGTTGACACTCCTGGCTTTGGAGACTTCGTCAACAACGATGATTCGTGGAGACCGATTGTGGAGAATATTGAGCAGCGATTCGATGCCTATCTCGAGGCCGAGAACAAGGTGAATCGCATGAACATTGTGGACAACAGGGTCCATGCCTGCGTCTACTTCATCCAACCCACCGGCCACTCCCTGAAGCCTCTGGACATCGAAGTCATGCGTCGCCTACATACCAAAGTCAACCTCATCCCGGTTATCGCAAAGGCCGATACACTGACAGACGAGGAAGTATCAGCGTTCAAGCAAAGAGTAAGTGCGCATATTCTGAAATAATTAGGTTCACATATTGACCCAGGCAGATTCTTGCTGATATAGCGCATCACTCGATCCAAATCTTCGAAGGTCCACGTTACGAACTGGATGATGAGGAGACCATTGCCGAGAACAATGAGATCATGTCGAAAGTGCCTTTCGCTGTTGTCGGTGCTAACTACGAGGTTACCAATCCCGAAGGCCGCAAAGTGCGTGGCCGACGCTATCCTTGGGGTATAATCGAGGTGGACAATGAGGAACACTGTGATTTTGTCAAGTTACGACAAATGCTGATCCGAACACACATGGAAGAGCTCAAAGAGCACACTAACAATGCACTCTACGAAAACTACCGCTCGGACAAACTGATCCAGATGGGTGTATCACAAGATCCCAGTGTGTTTAAAGAGGTCAATCCTGCAGTAAAACAGGAAGAGGAGAGGACGCTTCATGAGCAGAAGCTTGCCAAGATGGAAGCCGAGATGAAGATGGTGTTCCAGCAGAAGGTGCAGGAGAAAGAGAGCAAACTACAGCAAAGTGAGGAAGAACTATTCGCCCGGCACCGAGAAATGAAAGAACAACTGGAGCGACAGCGAGCAGAGCTAGAGGAGAAGAAGGCTCGGATTGAACAAGGCCGACCGATCGAGAAAGAAGGCAAGCGGAAGGGATTCTCGCTCCGATAGACGTCGTCTTCGAAGTCTCGGCCATCTAATCCCGCTCCTGCTTCCTTTCCTAGCGTTTCCAGTTCATCTCAGCGACGAAAACGATGACGGCGATATCCTCTATTCCTTCCGAACCACCTTTTTTTTTCGAGAACGACTTGTTTGGTATTGTTCTCCAGCAAGCAACAGACTGGGGCTGTTGTAACGTTCTAATCAAAACATCACCGACATGGTGTGTCCGTGGAGAAGAGGCTGAGAGACGAGATGGGGGAGAGAGATAACGTCCTGGACTGTGCCTAATACAAGGATCCGAATTTCAGCACAACCGTCCAGGACCCGAGATGTGCAGAGAGTCTCAAATTTGGTTGGGCTGGCACGGGGAGTAGGAGCCCTTGACCTGCCTAACAATCATGTATATTTCCTTAGCACCTTCGTGTCTTGTTTGTGGGAAGGGAGAGAGTTGAGCGGGAGGGGTGGTCACGGGGGTTTTCTTCGCCAGCTGGGACGACTTTCTTCAATTTCATTCCTTCCAATCACCAAACGGCGAGTTCCCTCTGTATTTTTGTAGTTTGTCACTAGCTTTCACAAAAAAAAAAGCGTTGCTTTGAGGAGCACGACAGGGTTGATGTAGGCCACCGTGGATGGTGAGGATGATGACCTTTTAGATGATAGACCAACAGCCATTGAGTGAGCGTCCCTCACAATGACTGTATCGATACCTCTTAGTTCGGCTCGCTCTCTAGGTACAATGTTATTTAGGTTCAGAGTAAGGGAGGCTGGCAGGGAGGGGTCGGCATGATGATGGAGTGCCGATGGTATTGGTGGCATCAGTAGTGGTGGGCCATGTAGAGTGACTGGCGCAGTGTAACTGTGGTTGAGTGTGTGGCGCTCGCAGCCTGCCACCTGCGCAGCCTGTGACGCCTGTGCAGCTTGTGCGGGTTCGGCATTGACATCATGTCCACCACCAACCCACAAACCCAAAAAGCGCCCACAAAGGCAGGCAGGCAGTTGGCTCCAAAGTAAAGCCACCTCTACTACTACTCGGTTCACATCAAGTTCTACATCCTCTCCAGCTTCCTGCTCAGTCAATCGACCCCTTCTGCAGCTCACAGCCACCTCATACCACCGGTGTCGGCTCTTTCGCCTTCTCCCTTTTTCACTCTGCAGCTCCTCCTCCCCGTCCTCACTCTTCCTGCACCTCGGTCCTCTGTGCGACAGAGATCACGTACCGTCACTGCGACACCAGAGCTTGACCGCCCATCTATCTGCAGGGATTTGAGTTTGCAAGACTGAACAATATGGCACCCCCACCTCCTGCTGATGCTCCCCTGGGTGAGCGCCTGGCAAAGGTCGCTACCACGCTGCAGTTGTGAGTATATTTGGAGCTGGAGTGTCTGAGGGTGGAAAATAAGGCAGAGGACTCGTGCTAACAGTTGTTCTCCAGTGCCTGGTTTTGCGGCCACTTTACCCTCCTCCTGTCGGTCCTTCGATATGGCCTCTCGTACCTCACGTTCAACTACTACTCCAGGTGGGCTCAGTTCACGTACCGCCTGGCCTTCATCTCAGCCGTAGCCACCTACGGTATCGTTGTTTTCAAGGCTTATCGTGCTCGCGTGAAGCCCGGCGCCAAGATTGGGTCGACTGTCTATCTCTTGCTCTCGGATGAGAATGTGCAATACCTGCGTGAGTCTAGTGCCTAGGAACATTCGGTCAGTCAAGAGTCTAATGTAAAATGCGCAGTGATCAGCTTGGTCTGGTTGTTCGCGAGACAGGTGCCTTTGGCCTTGCTCCCATTCACAGTCTACTCGGTCTTCCACGTCGCGACTTACACTCGCACCATTATTATTCCCACCTTCCAGCCGCCCAAAGGCGCTCCATCGAGCACACCCACATCACCAGGTGCATCCAAGGCTCCTCAGTCTCCCCTCGCAAACTCTATCGGCCGATTTGTCAAAGAATACTATGACGGATCTATGATGTTGGTTGCATTGCTGGAGATTCTCCTCTGGTTCCGTCTGTTCCTTTCTGCCTTGACGTTTAGCAAGGGCTCTTGGATCCTGCTGGGCATCTACGCCGTATTTTTGAGGGCAAGATACTCTCAAAGCCAGTTCGTGCAGGGGGCTTTCCTTCAGATGGGTGCCAGAATCGATCAGCAAGTCCAAAACCCCAATGTCCCACCTGCGCTCAGGCAAGCCTGGGAAACTGTGAAGGGTCTCCTGCGTCAGACGGTTGATGCCACCGATATGCGCAAGTACATGGGAGGGCAGACACCTCAAAAGAAGCCTCAATAGCGCTGACGACAGAATGTGTGATGCGCCAAGTCAATTTCGCTCGACTTCGATAGATGAGGGGGGAAGTGGCGGAGAGCCAGCTTTGCGTTACATCGGCCCCGCGCGTTGCAGACATCGAAGCTGTGGAAGAGATGGAGCTCCTACGTCGGCAACCTCGAAATCGTTGCGACTTAGTCAGGGCCCTTCCGTCAAAGTGTGAGAGTGATATTTGGCAAGCAAGGTAGAAGATTTGGAAGGATAGATCTCCGCCGCAAGGAAAGTCGGAAATGGATCAGTATGATGCGTAGCGAGGTATGCATCGTACGGGACATGTGGGAGGTCGTGAAAAGGAGTGCAGTAGTGCCAGAGTGATGCAAGCCAACGACGACTCGACGCGGGGAGTTTGGTAGTATTCCCCTTGGCTGGCTTTGCTGCTCAGAACAATGGATGGATGAGGTGTTTTTTTTCTTGTTCTTTCCAGGATCATGGGTAAGATGGCATTGATATGTACCTAAGCTTGATACAGACGGTGGTGACGGGGTACGAGGCGCACGGGGCGTACGAGTATCGAGTACCTAGCAAGACAATTTGTCCCTTTGCCTGTCGTTCTTTGTACATGTTTGTACCTCTTGTTCTTTGACACCCTTTTTCCTAGTCTTCTGGTCGGGTTTATCTTTGTTCCTCTATCACGCCTAGTTCTAGATAGGATGTGTCTGGTTGGTTAGTTGGTTGATTGGTTGGTCAGTGAAGACGAGGCTGAGGCTGAAGGTGAAGTTGGGTGAAGGTGAACGTAAAGACGAGTGAGACGTGAATGATGCGATCGATATCAACACCACCACCATCATCATCCCCTAGGTACCCAGGTAGGGACCCGGGTACCGTGCAATATAGTACTGTACATGTAGTGCATATAGTACAATCTCGTACGATGTGAACATGATACGATGTCGATACCTGCCTAGGTAATCTGCCTTACATAGGTACGTAGGTAGGTCAAGGAGGGTAGCACGGCAGGCAGGTTTGTAAGTAGGTAGGTAGGTATACGATGCGATCAATGGAATGCAAGTCAATGCAGTGCAGTGCAGTACGCCCGCGATACGGTACCAGCCAACCATCCATTCATTCTACCCAAAAAGGCCCAAAAGAGTCGCCGTTTCAACACGATTCAGGATACCATTGGAGCCACCAAGCCAGAACAGCGTCCATCCCATTCATGTATCCATATCCAGGTATACATGTATCCCGTACTCGGTAATTCATTGTGCCATGTCACCTGCATGCCAACTAGGTAGCCACCCAGCCATCCAGCCACTCAGCCGCTGAGCCCTCAACCGCCCAACCGCCGAGCCCAGGCGTGATTGATCTCGTTTGTTTGTTTCTTGATATAAAAAAAAAAAAACTCTGAAAAGTACTCGGTACAGTGGACAAGAGATGCGGTAGGATAAATGACCGAGGGGGAAACGTGGGAGGAGGGCTGAATAAACCAGCTCCCATTCACTCGTCATCCTCCGCTTCGGCATCCTCGTCTTCCTCCTCCTCTTCATCGTCATCCTCCTCGTCATCGTCGGCCGAATCTACTTCAACGTCAGGGTCTCCGTCGTCGTCGTCTTCATCTTCGTCCTCGGAATCGTCCTCGTCGTCGAGAACCGCGTCTTCATCGTTGGGATCATCTACATCTTCCTCAACCTCGTCCTCTTCTTCGCTCTCCTCTTCGTCTGTTGCTATTGATGCTTCCTGCTCATCTTCCTCTTCCTCTTCATCGCCACTTGATGTAGAGGATCCCTCACGATCTTCATCGTCGTCGTCTTCTTCTTCCCCCTCTGCCTTACTGTCCCTTTGTGCGGCATCCTCGTCTTCTTCTGCAGCCGCACCGTCTTGGTTGTCATTTGTGACCGACACGTCTGACGCCGGTATAGTCATGGTAGATAGTCCACTCCTCCGTCCACTCCGCCGGACAGGTGTCCCAGGTCCCTTTGGGGAGACGCTGCCGGTTCTGGCAACATTGTTGCCATTGATAGAAGATGTCGACCCGGCCAACCCCAACCCGGCGTTATTGTTGTTGTTGGCGTTTCTTGGTGAGCTCCTTACCGCAACTAAGGAACCTTGAGCATTTAATACAGTGGATTCTCCATTGCCTTTGGTCTGTGGAGAAGCTGCAGACCCAAAGGCGGCAGCCGCATTACGCTTCTTTGTGCTTCTTTGTCGAAGCATCGACGGTGGGATTGGTGGATCGATTTGGAAGCGTGTGGGTGGGATCGAATGCTGCCGGAAGGCCAAGGCATACCCTGTGAGGACGGGTTCTTGTTCCTTTCCCTCCTTAACCTCATTGGACTCTTCTTTTCCTCCCGATGCTTGACCGTCTTCGTCACCACCGCTCTCTTTTTCTCCAGCCTCGCCTTCAGGATGAGATTCACCGTCCTTCCGAGAATCACCATTCACAAGTCCGTTAACCTTGATCTGAGGACGAGCAGTGGCCAGTGAGAGCGCACCACCACCGCTGAGTGCGGCTGTCGGAGGGGGCCCCGGCGCAACGTGACCATGTGCATCCACAAGCAAGGGGTCCTTAATCTCCAGATCCTCTTCCTGCAATCCAACCGATTCTGGCCGCGACACTGCTCTTGTAGACTTTGATCTTGACCGTGGGGAAAGTCGTTCCATATCCGCGTCTGTCTCTAGCAGTTCGCCAGCCGCGACAGACTTGCCGGCATTCGACATCACCACCTCACTGTCCATATCCACATCTCTGCTTACTTCTTCATCTTCTTCGTCTCCATCCCCTTCATCCCTGGGCGCAAGCGCTTGTAGAGGCTGCCCGTCTAACGTGGCCTGGTCACTCCGCCCCATGATGTAGGGTGTCCACATCAAACTGTCCGGTTTCAACTTGCGATGTTTCTTTGCCTCATAATCGTCCACGATCCTCTGGTACAACTTCTTGTCGTACCTTACCGCGTAGGTTTTTGTTACAGGATCTTTGGTGAATGCATAAAGACGTTCAAGGGAATGGATCACATCGTCGGCTGTCATGCCTGTTCGAGCCATTAGAGTCTTTGTGGAGAAAGGTCTGAGGCCCAGGTCAAGTAGATGGCGTGAGATGGTGAGGTCCCAGTACGAACGGTAGGCTGTAAGGCCCATATCCGAGAGAGGCTTTTCCGGGGATCCCTCTTTGCCCTCGATTCTGGTGAGCAGGTAGGAAAAGTCGATCAGGAAAGTGGCATAACCCTTGCGTTGATGGATGGGCATCACCAAGATGCAGCTGACGTTGTTCTGGCTTGCAGGTCTCTTCTCTTTGCTGAAGTATCCCACGAAATGATATCCCAACTCGTCGTACTCGGTCAGGATGTAGAACAGAAACGGCTCCACGTCATAGTATAGTGTCTTTGATCCCAGAAACATCTTCGCCATCAGGCACAGGCACTGGCAATATTCCGTCTTTTTCCTCCCGTCGACCTCCCAGACAGACACCGTGCCATCGCGATATATCTCGTCTCCAGGCGGGTGTTTTGCCGGACATTTCAGTTTGTGTCTGTATGCTACAAACTCGGAGGGTAGGTATTTCAAGCAGAATTCACAGATGAACAATCGAGTCTCGTGTGAATATTCTTCCGGGTAGGGAGCAGCGTAGAAGGTGTCAATAACGTGTTTCCCAAACTGGATGCACTTGATCTTGCTCGGGGGTCCAGAGACTGTGGACCTGCTGGGCTTCGTCGTAGAGGCTGACGCCGCTGCAGCATCCCCTGCCACACCATTTATCTCGGCCTCCGCCGCTGCAGATGCTCTACGGCGTTCTTCTTCCGCTTCTTTTCTCGCGATCTCGAAAATTTCGCGGTCTCGGAGTTGCGGCAGTGAACGGCTTGTATCCGCATCTGCTTCGGAGAGGATGCCGCCGTATGGTTTGGCGTTGAGCTCGGCCTCCCGATCGATAAAGGCAGAGGGGAAAATGAGGTGTTGTGTGGGCAGAGCAGGGAACTTGGGGACAGGAGGCTGGTAGATTGGCGGTGCCGGTATTTTGGGAGGCTTCTTCGGCTGAGATCGTCTCTCTCTTCTCCTGCCGGGACGAGGAGGTTTGCTCAAGATCGCTTCGATTTTCGCTTGTTCTAAGCGAAAAGCCAGAATGAACTTGTGAGGCGGAGGCTTGTTGAACGGTCTATGTTGCAATATTCGCGCGATAGGCTTAGTGATTTTCATTTGACTTGTTCTTCTCGTCGAATGTGCAATGGCTGCTTTCTTCTCCGCCAGCTCTTTGCTTGTCGCGGCCGCTGCTAATGCTCGATCTGTTGCTTTTCGTCGTCTCTTTTCGACGGGAGGGGGTTCCTGAGTTGGCGACTTCCTCTTTCTCAGGGCGCGTCCTCCATCGTCACCGTCCCCGATCACGGGTTGGGCAAAGATCGAGTGTGAATACGGCTTTTGCAAGCCTCGCGTCACAGGTAACAAGTCTCTAACAAGCCGAGGCGCTGAATTCTTGGATCGAGAGCTTCGAGCTTTTGGTGACTCTGATTGTGCGGGTTTCTCGCCAGTGCACTGCGGACATTGCCATTGAGATAGCTTGCCTCCAGGTAGCGAGCCGCGTTCTTGAGCGCATTGCCGATGTGCGTGATTGCCGCAGACAGAGCAACTTAAGTGCGACTCGTCATCTCCACCGTCAACAGCCACAGACTGATTACACAACACGCAGTCCCGTTTAGAGTCGATAGCCTCGCTCGTGCTGTCATCTCCGCTGGATTCTGATCCTGACTGGGATTCCGACTCCGAGCTGGATTCAGAGCCAGAAGCGGAACCCGATGCGGATGCCGACGCTGAAGATTCACCTCCGTCCTGGCTGCTTTCCGAGCTTTCTTCGTTATCAGCTCCAGCGGTTTCGCTCTTCAGATCTCCTTGGTCTTGCTCTTGCCCAACTTCGTCGTCAGCTTCTTTGTCTTCGTCGGCATCCTCCTCTTCGTCGCTTTCCTCGTTCGCTACGGCGGCTTGATCTGGTTCGTCCGCCTCGTCAGCTCCGGTGTCTTGATCCTCGTCCTCGTCCGGCTCGCCTTCTGCATCGGCATCAGTCATGGTGATATCTTCTCTTGGGTCAGTTTGTGGCGCGGAGGTGGAGGCAGCGTCGGTATCGACCTTGGCTTCATTATCGCTCAGGCTCTCTTCTGCTGATCTTTGTAGCTGTTCACCTAGAGCGCTGTCCTCTGAATTAGGGATGTGTAAGTTAACTTGTTCTATGACCGCTTTCCTTGTTGAGTCCTCGTTTGGACCATTTTGCTCACCCCCCGAAGCCTCGTCATTCTCAGCGCCAGCATTCTCACGTCGCCCATCTGTTGGATACCGCGCCGCAGGCCGGTCATCATCGAGCGTCCTTTGGTTGGCGCTGATCGGCTGGTCCGGCTCAGCGGAGGTTGGAGACGGCATGGAAGCAAGCAAGAATTATAGGATGTATCCCTGTCCCTGCGTTTGTCGGTCCCGACAGGGCAATGACCATCACGCGAGAATGGTATTGCTGTCCTTTATTGTCGCAGGTGTCGCTATCGGGTCTTTCTTCGTTCATGCAACGGAAACTGTCATGCGACGCAGCATTTTTGATGTCCCGATTAGACTCGACACTGGGGCGCAAGCAGTTGTTCTGTGAATGGAGGGGCTGGTGGTCGTTCAATCTTTGTTCGACGCGTGAGGATGGGCGCAACAGCGTAAGGGACTTTAAACAGGGAACCTGATCGGGTTTCAAGATAGCTGTTACACGTCAAATGGACACTTTCAACAGTGTTACCATAACTTGAGGCTCGTATTGGACTCTGGAGAGTTGTGCTGTGGTGGCCGACCACATTCAATCCTCGTCGACAACGACTCTAAAGCAGCGTGAACAATGTCCACTTTAGGTAAGGCGCAGCTGAACGTCCGACTCGACCTGCGCCGTGAATGAGCTTTCCGCAACAATTGTCACTACACCAGAATAGAAATACAAAGTCGCTTGCATCTGGAACAGCTTCCATATACGACCTCTTGTGACGGCGATACCTGCATCTACTTTGCTCGCCCTTGGCGACTGTCCCTCTATCGTCCCGCAGTCAATGAGATAGCTCTTCGCCATGGGCGTACCTTTCGAAGCTCTTCTGCCCTATGCCATCATGGTCGGCATGTTTGGGGTTACAGTAATGCCATTCCACCCGTGAACAGAGGATTCTTCGAGCTGACCGCCTCATTAGGGTGCTGGTCTCGCCTCAATTCGGTACTATGCAAACGACTTCAAGCAGCCGAGGAGACAATTAGATGTGTGGGACAGGCAAAGTGGGTGCAAAAAAGAATACAAAGCTCAGCATGCATATCGCTCACTATCACAGTGATGGAAAGAGACCACCGGTTGACCGGGAAAATAAGAGGACAGTCAGATGCTGTGGTGGCCCCGGCCGGCTTTGAAGGTTCGCCATCTTTCCGCTCCGGTCACACTGTGTGAATGCTAACGACTATGTGCAGTAAACAGCAGATGGAAGGTTCGTCGAGCAATGGTTGGGAGACGGCACGATATCACTGACTTCTGCTCTAGGCCGAGCCTCGCATTACTTAGGTCTCCGAGACCATCGTTCATATTGGGTTCCCCTAGATACAGGCATTGTACATATTACGCTCACCGATCAATTCGGATATGCATGACGAAAGTCAAGGTGTTTGCAAGTAGCTGCTTGCTTCCAGCGCCATATGTCAAAAAATGTGAAGCAAATCAGACAGCGACAAATGCACAAAAAATGACCATCTTGCACAAGGCCCTCATTGCTCTCACAATCCTTTTTCGCCGTGGCAAGCTATTGACCTTTTTGTACCTCGTCCGCTGATTTCCTGTATGGCGTTGGCAGATCTCGGGCATGATGAAGCCTGCACCTCCTGCTTTCCCGAGTTCTGGACCACAAAGATGCTCACTGGAGCAATGCATAGAAACACCCCTCTTCAGATGTCTTTGCGTGTTGTCCAGTCCTGAAATGTATTTCTGCAGCTCCGGGTCATGTATGAGCCCGAGCCATGGGTCGACAGTGCTGAAATCCCAGAGCCATTTGGACTGATTGCAGAATATCTGGCTGAATGTAGCCCTCGAGCAGAGAGAAGCAGATATCCTGAACTCCGAATTCGGAGCGGGCAGACACCGACATGTGCCATTCCGTCAAATAAAACACTACAGCCCTCTCTCCAACTCTCCCCCTCTCAATGTATTGGTAGTGCTGGAGCGTACTCGACGATTCATATCGAGAATCACAATTACTCTCTTCCCCCACCAAAGGTAGTCCTTATCGAACCCGATATCATGACCACCGAAAAGCCCGATCTCCAAGAAAAGCTTCGCCAGCTCGGCGAATACTCGCCCTGCGATGTAAGTACACTTGTATAGTCCATGACCTTTTTACGGTCAGCCTGACAGGAGACAAGGTATCAGATGCGCTTCTGAAGCTGCAGAAGGTCAAGCCAGGAGAGGTCGCGAGGGCAGGCTATCTCGCCGACATTGGTGTGCTACCATTTTTTTCCCTCAACCTCGACAGGGTCCCGGGGAACCTCCATAGTTGACGAGAACACGCAGTGCCTTTTGCCCTACCGCAGTCGAGCAGAGATGCCACGGATCCTCCCCCGTCAAAGGTGATTGGGCTGGCATGTACCTTGAAGCTGGTGCCGAAGAACTCAACACCAGAGTCGGCGCCGCCAGTGGAAAACTCCATCCCCAAGGGGAGTCACTGGGTCGACCTGACGGAACCTGGGACCGTCGTCGTTATTGATCAGCCGCCAGACCAGAAGTGTGCCGCCGTGGGGGGCATCATGGCACAGAGAATGAAGATTAGAGGCGTTGCCGGGTGTGTCGTCGGTGGTCGCGTCAGAGATTTAGCAGAGCTGAGAGAGTCTCAATTGCCGGTGGGTTAAAAAACCAACAACATCAATCATGTTTGACGAACGAACGAACAAACGGCCCTTGCTCTCTGCCCGGTGTCTCACAAGTTCTTTTCTTTCCCCTGATCCTCTCCCAAACTGACCAAATAGATATTCGCCCTGGGCAAGTCGACGGTCGGAACGAACGCCGAAGCAACAGCATACGCTCGCAACGTCCGAGTTTCGATAGCCGGCGTCGATGTCTGCCCGGTATGTAAAATGGACGGGACACCGCTCCCTCGATTGTCCACCATGGTCCCTCGATATGTCTCCTGACCTCTCTGGTTCTAGGGCGACATCATCTTCTGCGATCCACTGGAAGGGGCGGTGGTCATCCCTCGGGACCTGCTCGATGATACCCTGTCGCTGATGCCCAAGCTCGTCGCCGCGGACGACAAGGTCAAAGACGCCGTACAAGGGGGCATGACCGTGGCAGAAGCGTTCAGGACTTTCAGAGTCTGAGAGCAAACATTAGACCGGGGGGCTAGCTAGCTGTTCACCGCTGCCGTCGCCCGTGACAGAGAACAATGGAATGACAAAGTCACTCGCATTCACACAATTCCTTTTCTACCGCGCCCCAAGGCAAGTTTATTCACCGCGACAATAGATATTTATTTACATTACATATATATATTTATTTCGTTCTTGGCAGGGCGCCACGCTCCGCTGCGCTCTTCTCTTTCTCCTCCAGCGCATTCAACTACCCAAGATCACTTCTGCTTCATTTTACGGAGCTAGCTGAGCTATCGCTGACAACACTACATGGCACGACAACGACAGCATAACGCTGCTCACGATCCCAGTAGTATACCTTTTGTCTGTCTGGAGAGCACACGGATCACCACCGCACTCGAAGACGCTCCCAAAATGTACCGCTTGAACGGTTCCGCCCCTCAAAACATGTCTACCTATGTCCCTGCATCGACTGGAGAAGATGGCCATGGTCTCAAACAAAACGATCAAGCCCGGGTGTTGGCCCTGCAAGCAATGCGGATGTCGATGCTGGTGGCGCTTGGTAAGTGCTTTCACATTTTCCTCTCTCTCTCTCTCTCTCGCTTTCACACGAGGGAGCCACATCACCACGAATTCAAACAAGATTCTCTGTCTCTAATACCTGAACTAGAGGCGGAGGCTCTTCCGAGTCCTACACGTTCGACTTCCATGGCCGAGGTCGATTTGACCGCGGGGGTGTGGCAACCCACAGTTCGCGCACACCACCCTACCGACTCCTCACCCGAACCTGCCGCCTTTCGGTTCTGGAGAGAGATCCGAGCGAGGCCAGAGACACTGGAACTCTTCTTGGGACACGTATTCGCGCTCAAACCGACGCCCGGCGATGTCGTCCGGCCTTTCTACCGGCAAGGGAAATTGGCCGGGTACATCAGGACGGGGTCCGCGGACATGGTCGAGCAGGACAACGTCAACCTACGCGCCATGCGGGTGAGCAGGGAATTCCGCGACGTCGGCAGCCGCCTGGTCTACGGGCGATACACGTTCTGCTTCGACGACGCCCAAAACTGCCGGTGGTGGACCAAGCACATCGGCCGCCAAAACTTTGCCAACCTGCGCGCGGTCAGTGTCCGCATGGGATCAGGATGGACCGTGCCCTGCGACGACATCTGCAGCGTGGACCTTTGCTTCGAAGAACAGTGGCAACGCTTCTTCACGTGGATGAGGTATCGCCACCGGATGGATGCGCTGGTCCTTGACTTTTCGCCGTGGAGACCGGTCCCGACGTATGGAGAGTTGAGCGACGAGCGGAGAGCAGAGGTCGCCGAGTGGCGAGACTCGTTGCTCGCCACGCTGTCCGAACTCCGTGGTTTCACGGTCGTCAAGATTGTCGACCGCTATGAAGTCGCCATCCCCGCCGCAGACAAGGACGAGTGGTGCGCGACGATGACAGAGGCCCGCGAACCACCACCACCTCCTCCCCCGGTCGACGCACCGTCCATGCCACTCGGACAGATTCTGAAGCATCTCCGGGAGATGAGGAGACAGCAAGAGTACCGCGAACGGCTGGACCGGCGCGAACAGAAGCAAAAACGAAAAGAAAAGAAGCAGCAGAAGAGGTTCCTGAGGCAGAGCCAGGCCGACGAGTACAGCAGCTAACGACGAGGCCGCGGCAAATAGTCGGTCTAGTTCTCTCCAGGAAAAGGTTCGGAATGTATAGCTAGATATCTGTCGGCATTGTGGAGGCTGGCGAGCGCGAACGCCTCTGTCTTGGATCCGCCGGGCCCAGCCTGAGAGCAAGGTGGAAATCAGCATTGAATTCTCTGCTCAGGATGGAGAGGTTGTTCAAGTAATGCAGGCTCAGACTTGGATATCTGCCCGGAGAGAGGATAAAGCAGGATTATCTGCACAAACGAGGAGGAAACGTGCACAACAAGCATCGGTTACGCGCATTATGTAGCTGTCGTGCATAGGTCCCCTTCTGATAGCTGGGAAAGGATCTCGGGGAGTTCACACAAGCAATCACCACGCATGAGTAAGACAGATAGACCATCGACAGGAGCAGCAAGCTCTAGACCATGTGGCCTGGGCAGACGCCAGATGCCGGTCAGTGATGAATATTAAGTTCCCAGGTGTATACACCTCTACACATCGCCATTTCGCTGGAGGCAATGTCCCAAAGCAGCCTTGTGCTGTTGGCTACAACATATTTGGCCGAAAATACAGTTCCATGAAAAGTCCGTTCCCAATCCTCTAAAATCCCCACTGGTCAAGGGATTCACCCTTTCTTTAGTCCTCGGTCTTGAAGGCGGTGACCCGGCTCTTGATCACTTCCTCGTCCTCCTCGATGTCCAGCTCCCGCAACTCGCCGGTTCCGACGTTGTAGATTAGAGCATGGACTTGGAGGCCACGTTCATCCATCGCGTCCAGGACGATCGGGTTCGCCAGGAGCACTTTGACCCCGGCCCGAACGTTCAACTCGACCATCTTCAAGCCCCGCTGTGTCTCGTCCAAGCTGTTCAAGAGAGACAGGTTCTCTTGGCGAATTGCTCGGAGTGGCATCAGCCAGGTGTCAATCAGGCCAAGTTTCTTGTTGCCTAGGGCCGCCGCGATACCTCCACAAGAGGTGTGGCCGCAGATGATGATGTGCTTAACCTTCAGGTATTGGACGGCATATTGAATGACCGAGAGGGAGTTGATGTCTGTGTTGACCAGGATGTTGGCGATATTGCGGTGGCAAAATATTTCCCCGGGCTTCAGGCCCAGGATGGTGGTCTCTGGGCAGCGCGAGTCGGCACATCCGATCCAGAGAATCTGAGGTGATTGGCCCTTGGCCATGGACTCGAAAAGCTCAGGATCGGTTTCGGCCAGAGAGCGGCGCCATAAGCTGTTGTTGTTGAAGGCCTTGGTGTAGGCATCACTATTCGTGTCTGCTGTTGCGGCGCATTGTCGTCAGTAACGGTTCCTCGGCGTTCAAAATGTGAACAGGGGTGACGTATGGACAGCACAGGACACGTGACGTCGGGATTCCAAGGAGGAAAAAGTGTTGAGGGACGGGAGCCGATTGAATGCAGTGCCCATCCACACTGCAAGTTGCAGCTCCTTCTCAGAAACACGCAGATGATGAGCTGGTGTTACGAGTGTATCGCGGGTTCAAACTGCACAGTCATGTCTTTTTTTGGGGGGGAAAACCGTTGGTATGCTCATCACCATGGACCGAGTGGAACCAAAAGCTGGAGGTTACCCACCTAGAGGCATTGTGCTTGGATCTTCCCTGTCCTCGTCTTCTTCGTCTTCTTTCAGGTCGGCTGGGTGTCTGTGGAAGTGGTGAGAACAGTAGGATCGGACAGAAGTAGAAGAAGAAGGTGGCCGGCAAGATACGGAGGGTAGAAGGGGGATTAAAAATGAAGACGGTGTAGGTGGTGGTGTAGGCAGTTGTGAAGAGGACGGGGCCGGAGATGGTGGGAACGCAGTAGTAGACGAGAAACCGGTGACGGATCTACGCTGCAGGTGGAAATCTCGGAAGTTCTTTTTTGGTCTTGGTCGTGTTCGTGGCTGGAGCTGGCTCCGCGCCTGAAGGAGTCGCGGTTGCTGATTGGAAACGAGATTTGAAGAGATGGTGAGACGTCGCAGCAGAGACGATGCAGGCCGGCATTCTATCACCATGGCGAGGAGGGAAGATTGGGGAGCAGGGTGGCCAGGTCAAGAAACCAAGGACTGAGTAACCATGGGAATTTTTCCAGAGAAGATGGGGGAATTTTCTCCCTGAGATCTTCGGTTTCCATTGTGGTGGATAACGAGTTGAGGAAACGGAGATTGATTGGTGGCTGATAGCAAAGATAGATGAGATTTATGACGGTGATGAGATTTTGAGCCAGTCAAGCCAGTGCCTTGTTGGCGTGGGGAGCCCGGAATGAGGTCCGTGGCTGCCTAAGTCATAGTGCCATCTTGTACTTAGGGGTAAACGGGGAGGATTTATTGGGGGGCCTACGCTGATGCAGGCCACAAATGGCGGACATCGGGGGTTGTTGAACTTGTTGAGCTGCCTAACAACGGGCTCTAAGTTGGATGGGGACCAAGGGGGGGCCACCGGGGGCATAACTATAACCAAACTACTGGCTGGGCAGTCCGCATGGGTGCGGGCCACGATAACCACCACGGGCTTGACCGGGCCAAGAACAAAACCTCTCCCCCCTGTCGAGTCGTAGCCTTCCTGTACTTGTACTTTTCATTCGAATCCTCGTGTGGACTCGGTGCCTCCTACATACGGAACACCTACCCGGTACACAGCTCATCAAGACGGAAGCCCTAGACCTTCCCAGCATCATCTTCGAGCCCGTTGTTATCCACTAGTCCCCACCATTTGTCCCAGAGGCCCTTGGTCACCAGTGTCTGCTCGTCCATCGTCGTTGTCTCCTGCAGATATTCGCAGACCGCGTTCTCTGCATCCCCTTCCGCGTCGAAATACATGATACCAGGGACACTCACCGGACTGAATGCCAGTTGCCAGGTTCGATATGTCGGTGGCAGCAGTTTGTTGGGCTGAATGATGTTTTTATCCGAACATACAACTTCCGGTCGAGACGCCTTGTTCCGTTTCCTCGCGTCTTCTCCTGCGGCCATGTTGAAGGTACCGTTTACAAAAGAAACCTGCTGCTTGGTCCAGACTCGTGGCATGCGCTTTTTCTCATATAGCTCGATGGCCGTGGGAAGGTCAATGTTGCCGCGAATCACTTCCGAGACGACTGTGCCTAGAAACACCCCGTCTTCCATGGCGGTAGCCGCTCCCTGAGCCTGGAAATACTCGATTAGCATCTCTAGAGACAACCGATGGGCGAGCACCTACCATGTGATTCTGCATCCCGTGAGCCGCATCGCCGAGGAGGACCACGTTCTTGTGCTCGTTCGACCACGACTTCATTGGGGGCAGCACCAACAAGGGCCAGATCTGAGTGCTCTTGAGGAGCCCGAGAATCTTGCGTGCAAACGGACTCCAGTCCTTGTACAGGTTGCGGAATTCCTGAATATCCATCTCCTCGGCCTTGGTGACGACGCGGTCCATCTGAAACATGGCCACCACGTTCAGTTCCCGGCCCGCCGAAAGGGGATATAGGAGGATATAACCCTGAGGCCCGATCCAGGCGTCAGCCGTGTTCCTCAGCCACATTCTCGCTTCGGGCACCTCGGCGAACACTTCCTCATAAGAGAGCACGCCACGGAATGCCGCAACGGTCGAGGCAGCTTTTGGCACGGTTTCTGGAAACAAGGTCTGGCGTATGGTCGATCTGAGGCCATCGGATCCGACAAGCAGATCAAAGGTATGCTCAACCCCGTGAACTGTCGTGACTTTGACGCCCTCCTTGGAGTGTTGGAGGGATTGGACGCGGGAGCCGACGATCAGATCGACTCCGTTGCGTCGAGCACACTCGGTAAGTCCTGCGTGAAGGTGATCTCTACGCACCACCCTACATTTGAGACTGTCAGTACATGGCACCCACGATAGAGACGGCCATCTGCAGCACGGTTAAGAGCAGGGGGTGGGACACACGGACCAATGCGGAAAGCCGGTGAGCTTGCGTCCTTCTTTCGGATCGAAGCGACCCAGCAGCTCGTCGTCCAAACCCCAAGTATTGATCTCATCCACGGCGACCAGGTCGTCGCCAATGATCTTGTCCACGTCCCACCGGATCAGGATCCGGGACACATTGGAGAACATCTGGATGCCAGCTCCGATTTCACCCAACTCCTTGGCCGCCTCGAGGAGTGTGACCTTTGCTCCTGCTCGGGCACACGCGATAGCTGCGGTCAGTCCTCCCATACCGCCTCCACAGACCCCGATGCGTAGTTTTGTTGGTGCCATCTTGTGTATCCGCTAGCCAAGGGGGGGTTTTTGTGGTGCGGCACGGTTTCCAAAACAAAAGACAATGAAAAGACCTTGAGAATATGAATATGCCCGTAAAGAAGGTCCTATTCTTTCTTCGCTTTGGCACCCGTGAAAGAAGACAAATATGTCGACCAAACACGAAAACGGGGGCACTTTTATACCCAGTATCCTTTGTCTCTGTGTGTGCGTAGAGACCTAATCCGAAGGGCAAGGTGGACCTGATGGATGTATGTAGCCGGAGTATAACAGCGCACGGCACACCAGGCTCTTTATATTGTACTCGGAACAAATGAGAAAAATGCTTTTTGGAAACCTCTTGCGCAGGAGCGAGAGTCGGCTGTTATATAGACGTGTAGATGCAGATATAGATATATATATCTACGCGATTCCTTGACTGCGAAGCCGCGGCTGCAACGTTGTGGAGGTTATGGTGGTTACGATGATGCGTGAACGTGGTGGTATGAGAGAGAACACACCAAAGCACCACCCAAGCAAACCACGAACAAATAACATGTCCCTTGTCATTCGAGGCTTCTCGGCTCACGGATCTTGTTTACAGACACAGAGACAGACAGGCCGACCGACCGATCGACCGAGAACCTATGGCATCTTTTGCCCCCCTCCCCCCCCAGAAAATCTTGTCGTTGTCAGCAGCGGTGACAAGTATTCCACTAGCTATCCCTTACATATAACCGCGGCTCAAAAAAAAAACATACTGGGGGTTTGAGGGGCAACAACTGGGGGTAAAAGGTCTCCCCGAGGGGGGGGATGGAAGAGGCCGGGGTTTTCGGATTTTATACACGGCCCCCTTAATTGGACGGCCCAGACGGGGCCACGATTGAGATTGATTGACTGATTGAGGGTGTGTAGTGGCTTATCCTGCTTATTGTTGTTGTAATCCTATGGACTTGTACATGCGTACCCGAGGCCCAAGGACACTCAAAAGAGAGAGAGTTTTTCTTCTTCTCGGGTCTACAAGTAGAGACGTGGCGTGGCGTGGCGTGGCGTGTGGTGTAGTACGAGGTACAGTAGATGATTATTACCACAACCCTCGTAGTCTTACGCAGACTTGAAATTTTCGGACGTGTGGATTATCGGGTATGTACGAGGTACACAACACGCATACATACTTTATACATGTATGTAGGCACGGAGGGATGCAGCAAGCCCCAGCGGTAGGATGGACAAGAAGGGGGTTGTATGTGGCAGTCTTTCCTGATTGTCATTGCTACATGTATCTACGTATCCACATATCTCAAGGTACGCGATACAGGATACGAGATACGAGAGATATGTCTGAAAATGTTCAAGAACCTCTTGTTACAACGAGGGGACACACACACACACACACACACACGTACACACACGCACGCCCGCAGACATGAAATTAGCCCGGCCCTGCCCTGCCTTTGCACGCCCTCAGCCGGGTTTGGCATGGACCGAGCTTATGGACCAGATGACGATCCTACCTAGGAGACAGATACCTAGGGTACCCTTCTGTATGTGTACTACGTGTTTGTACTCGGTACAGTTGTCGCGGTTGCGTCGGTCGAAACATCATACGCGCGATATACTCGGTATATATAAGCGATCTACATAAGCGACCGTCATAAAAGTGCGAGTCTCGCGTGCCGTGTCTGCCGATATTGGGGCCGCTGTCGTCATGCATCACTGATTGCAATCAGCATCGCGCTTAGAGTGGGAAATAGACAAGTTGTGTGTGTATGTGTGTTTTGCATAAATGGTATCGTCCTGTCGAGACCAACAGAGCCACGTACTACGCCAGCACAAGGTCACTGGCCATCAAGAACACAACATCACTTATTCTCTCTCTCCTACTCTCTCCGTCGCTTGTCTATTCTCTCAAACAAGCTCTTCGAACCCTCTCATGATCCCCTCTGCGCCGAACAAAATGTCAAAATCAGCGGCCATGCTAGCCGGGAAACATTCGGCCCAGGTGCTCAGATGGTCTTCCTGTCCCGAGGAGAAGGATTCGACGGCGTTAAACGGGCTGGTAGTGCCGGGGCCACCGCGACCATCAATGCCTGCATCGTATATCCTTGGAACATTTTCAATATCGTCAGTGGTGGTAGCACTAGCAACGGCCAAATTCGGAAAAGCATTCGAGTAGGATCCTGCTGGCAGAGTAGACGATGCCGTGGTCGATGCCGACGCCGAATCCAACAGCGGTCTCTGGGAGGGTGCCACCTTTTCAAATGCCGCCGTGTAGTATGCAAAGATGAATCTGGCGGCTAAATACTTTTCCTGTAACTGCTGGACCACCAGCATGGCGAGGTCCAGGTTCTGGCTCGCTAGGTGCCATTTCATACCCGTCGATAGGCATTTCGCCACGAAGAGAATCGCAATAATTGAGATGAGCATTGTCACACTGTGAGAGTGGTGGCAAAGTCAGCCCTGGTTCCTTGTTCCCCGGATACCAAACATAATATGAGACAGTCAACCTCGTCAACCGACTGACAATCAGATCGACTAACGTGTGGAGGGGAAGTGCGTGGTGTGGCCTACCTTTCAGGTGGTAAAAACCGGACGAGCTCCAGCTCGCTGAGTTTTCGGAAGCCGTCTGTGGCCGCAAACGCCGACAACTGACACCCTTCCCACGCGATGCGTGCGCAAATGTCGCTTCCAGGCCGGGTCGGGAGTAAGTCATCTTGAAAGACGAAGGGCTTGTACATGGTGACCACCGTGACGCTAAATACGGTAAGAACGGAAAAAATCAATAAGCGTTCCGTGATGCCAGATCAAAGACGAAGGAAAACCTCCAAGGAAAAGAAAGAGCGGAGACACAAACTCACTGATGGAGAATCTGAATGTAGTATTTATGCAACGTCATGGCGATGGGTTCGTTCATAGTGGTAAGCGGTATGTCAACTCGACACCTTGAATCAAGGGCTGCTTGCCAACGAGCGAGTTTGTCCTCAAGATACTCGATCACGCTCCAAGACATCGGCTCTTTCCGTGGCCTGTAGACGGAGGCAAGCACCTCGCCCAAGATCTGGCTCAATTTGACAATCTCCAGAAATATGGGCGCGTAGTTGTTGCATTTGGCCACGATGGCGGCGCTTTCCTCGTCCAGATTCAAGTTGGCGTTGGATGACGACGTCGACGAGTCTTTCGCGGTGTGCACCAAGTCTTCGAGTGTAAGCTCCTTCACGTCGCAGTCCTCGGCGTTGATGCGGAACGCCCGTCCCATGCCTAGCGCAATGCATCTGTCCCGATAGAAGCAACACCACCAGATCCTTCGCCACAGGCTGCGTTGAGACGGGGGCACGTCTGAGAAGCCTGGGTCACGGTGGAGACCGACGCTCTGGCTCAGACTGATTGCGACTCCCACCCAGTGCCAGCTATCGGTGCGGTCGTGGGCTTGCCCCAACCAATAGCCAAGCAACAGGACCGACTGGATCAGACATATCTTGTCTGTTTCGTAGTCGAAGTCGTAGAGTGCCTGGGGAAAGGAGATCAGCTCCATTGCTTTCCAGCGTCCGAGTTGATTGTCAAGTCACCTTGGCTCTTTCGTAGAATCTTCTTTTCATGTGCATCAGCGATGGCCAGCCCGACCTTTTTAGCCCATCTGTCGAGATAAACTAGAAGACTTTATATCAGGACCTGTAGGCGGATGTGCACTGGGTGGGCTAAATGCTTACGTTGCTTGCAGCAAGGAACATGCTCTGAAGTAAGAGCGGACTGATGCTCTGGATGCCGCCAGCCTCGTACCGACGACGAAAGTCGTAAGGGTCGATGATCGGCAGAATTGGGTAGACATAATCAAAGAACAGCCCAAGGAGTTCGTTTCTCAAATCATCCGACTCTGTTGAGAAAGCCCCCTTGGCCTGTAGGCACGCGTATTCTTCGGGCGACAATTGACGCCTCTTCGGTTGGGGAACTAGGTAATGGGCTTTGGAGGCGATGCTCTTGTCCCTGGCGACATGGAATATAAACCGAAGCGATTGAAGCTCGCCTGACACGTTTTGCTTAGCTGCTTTCACCCACATGGAACATACCACTGTGCAAACCTACCGACATACAGCGGTACCTTGGCTCCGTTCGTCTCGACTGCATCGACAATATTCCGATACGCTTCCACATTGGCCTGGGATTCATACTCATCGCGCGATGGCGGCTGTGATGGTGGAGTGATTGAGGGGTTCGAGTCTGCAAAATCAGTGGTGGCCGGGGGTTGGGTTTGAGCATCCGCAGTTGGTCCAGACGAAGACAACGAAGGAGGCGTGGCAGTATGGAGGTGTGAATTCTTGTTCAGCCTTCGCCGTTTATGTTTACCTCTCGCTGAGACGTGCAGAGCACACTGTGTCTGGTCTTGCTGGCAGTTGGAACAGGGTTGGCCAACGAGGACCACATTGCAGCGGACTTTTCTGGCATGACACGCCGTGCACGCGATGGGAGCGCGTCGCTTCTTGACAGGCCAGCCATCGGATGCAGCTGCAGTAGACATCGGGAAATAGTGACTCTGGGGAAGCTGTGAGTTGGCAACATGGAGTGGCCTTGATGCGGAGAAAGGCGACAAAATACCGGGGAGACATTCTCGGTTATATGGTCGCTTGGATGGCTTTCAACCTTCAGCATTGAGCCGAGGGTATAGCAAGGCCATGGATTGGCGCCCACACCTTGGCCCGGATGATGCGGAGTTCGCCCGTCAAAGAGTGATGGTATGTGGGTAGCATTGGTGAGAGACAAGGGAAGATGAGAGTGAGGCAGTTTTGGGAGAGTGTCATCAGCACGAGACTGCCAAGCGAAGCACGCACCCGTAAGCGCCCTGCGCCGCTGTGCGGCCTGCAGCACGTCTCCCAGCCTCAGCCTCAGCCTCAGCCTCTATTTGGCGTGTCCGCATAGGGGCCCGACATCGGCACTTGACACTGTCACCTTTAAACCTCACCGCCCCCCGCCCAACAACTGTTTACTCCTTTATTGACAACGACGAAGCCTGATGACGTGAGCGCTTGGGAGCGACACTGAGAGCGACACCGAATACCGAGTATGAGCACCATCCGCAGGTCCCTCTGGTCGCAGGCAACAACCACAGTGCACCGACACGTCCGAAGCGGACATCCTCCCCAACAACCCTTCCTCAACGAGAGCCTTGGGCTTGCTCATCCTTCAAATCGCCGCTGTTTCCGTTCGTCAGAGGTTGCCATGGGGAGTAAAGACTGGAGCGCAGCTCAGTATCTGAAGTTTGAAGCCGAACGGACCCGTCCAGCAAGGGACCTCCTTGCCCAGGTGCCCCTGACGGCCCCGAAACGGGTGGTCGACCTGGGTTGCGGGCCTGGTAATTCGACAGAGGTGCTCTGGAAGCAGTTCCCACATGCTCACGTCGTGGGTCTCGATTCGTCTCCTGACATGATCGAAAAGGCGCGAAAGAGGCTGCCTGAACTCGACTTTACCCTAGGTGACTTGAGCTCGTTTGACCATGCGGAACCCGCCGATCTACTTTACTCCAACGCCGTGTATCAATGGCTGCCCAATGAAAGACGCATTCCAATATTCATCGACTTGATCAAAACGCTGAAGCCGGGCGGCGTGTTCGCTTTTCAAGTACCCGACAACTTTTCAGAGCCCTCCCATGTTGCCATGCGCGAACTTGCCGATGAGGGTCCGTGGTCTGAAACTCTCAGACGACTACATCCAGCTCGCCATCCATTTCAGTCTCCTCAAGAGCTCTACAATCATCTGAAGCCCCTGTGTTCAGATATCAACATCTGGCACACCCATTACTATCACATCCTGCAAGACCATAAGGCCATCGTGGAGTGGGTGAAAGGAACAGGTCTGAGACCATACGTCGATCCTCTGTCCGCTCCGGAGAAAGCAGCATTCCTCGACGCATATTTGAAACGAATTGAGGAAGCATATCCGCCCCTTGTTGATGGAAAAATCTGCTTTCGCTATCCGCGCCTGTTCCTGGTGGCGATCCGGGCTTGATTTCTGTGCCTTCCATGTCACCTTTTGCGCCAGTCTGGCAACCCTGTTCAGCATCTGGTCGGTGAGTTTGGTGACGCGTAGTGACTGATTTTCCGTTGGGTACAGCTTGATCCGCAGCCAAATACACCTTCTAGGAGCAGATGGAGTGACAATTCAATTCACACTACCTCCGATCTATGGTTCTCTGATTTTTCACACTCCCGGGATGGTGACGAGGCGACGTGATATGTTCCTGGGCACCAATACCTGCGAGCGGAGCATGCTCAACCCGATATTATATGGCGGTCGCAGTCACAAGTCTATTTGTTGTTGTGTGCGTTCCCCCGCTACATGGAAAAAGTCCGAAAGACTCTCCGAAGTCCTTCGAGGGGCAGCTTCCTAACTCGAATGAATACAATGTATAAGAATGTCGAATACCGTTCTCCTCGACACGTTGGCGGACACGTTTTGTCATCTTCAGGAACGACGATTCGACTCAGCAGGAGACGGTTGCGAACTTGAGATAGCATTCTGGTCTGAACGAAACAGCAGTACTTTAGGCAGACACACCCTGCTCGGCAGCATTCTGTAGGCCACTGAGCGCAACTGGAGGGCGCCCTTGCACGCAAGCACTTTTATCTTCCACTTGTCTCTTTTGGTCGCGTGTTTGGTGCTGCAGAATGTTGCCACAACTCTATGGATGCATGCTACTGCGTGTGGTCCATACTGTCTCAATCTCGTGGACAGACGAAGGACACAAGTGCGATCGGTGTGTGTTGAGGGGTTCATACCGAGTACTGTAGCTGGCCAGGAGGCATGAACCATGGAAAACCTGACGGGACCTGTTTACCATACGGGGGCGAAGTCGACTCCGAATGTAAATGTCCTTCCCCCCCCTTCTTCCTTGTGTCCCTCTCCCTTTACAGAAGTCGTCTCCAATCTTGAACCACTTTGTTGCCCGTACTTCTGCTGCGGCGAGAAACGGGAGGCCTCGCTGTTGTGTCTGTTGACTGTTGACACAATGAACAGAATGACAGGCCGGTGGAATTCTGCCCGAGTGCGCATCCAACATATGCCGTCAAGTATGACTTGTGGACTTCACGTATCGAGGCAATGGTTCGCCCGGATCGTGTTCCACTTGTGGGGGGGGGAGGGAAGGGCGGTAGTTCTTTAGAAAATAGTTGTCATACTCATCATATACATGATCCTTGCCAATCATGTGAAATACAGATTCTTGCTCGTCATTCGTAATACACGATCTTTGCCTCCCAATAAATGATCTTTGCCTCCCAATAAATGATCTTTGCCCACCCAAACCCTGCAGTGTAGAGACCGGCGACTCATCCAACACAAGGCAGTTCGAGCGTGCGAGCCAACTTGTTTCCAGATGCGCACATGTCTCTTTTCCCATTCGTACAAAGCGTGCTTCCTGACCAAATTCTCAAGCCTGCCACCAGGACCGATGCCACACAGTAAGATCACTGACGATTGGAGATCTGTATGCGATCCGTCTCCCCGTATTTCCTTGCCTGTGGTGTCGATGTATGGTGTTGTGTGGGGACAGCCTTGTAGGCTAGGAGCCTCCCCCATCCAGCGTCGTTTGTGAGAACCATTGCATCCACGTTTCGTGCCACAGTCCAGTCTCGTTCACAAAGCCTCTCCAGAGTCTGGGTCTTGATCCGTGGTGCCCGTGGTACCTGGATGTGTTTTTGCCGCCCTCCGTTCGGCCATTTCGCAGAGCTCATGGAGCAATCCCTCGGAGCAAGTATTGTTTCGATAGATACCTTTGTCTTTAAGGGCTTCTTCGCGGGGCTCCGGGTCATTCTCAATGCCGATCTCTGTGTCATCTTGTCTGTACCAAAAGAGCATTCTGCAAATCGCGCAACGCTCGCAGCGCGTGATCCCTGTCCCCTTCTGGATGGTGAATGTAATGGCAAGTTCATTCTCGTGACTGAAATGTTGAGGCCTATTTGTTGGTTCTGCATCAGATCTTGCTGGAGTGGATTCGAGTTTCCAAGTGTTGATGGCTTGCGTGCCGTGACGATCGTCGTCACGTAGGTTTTCGTCGAGCCAGAGTCCAGCCTTCGTGACGTGTTGTGGAACATTGCTTTGCAGATTTTCAAAGCGCTTCTTCCTGGACTTCTTGGCCCATTTCCCGAGGTATGTTGGGTGATGTTCGCCATTGGTCGCAATGATATGTAGACAGATATTCGGTTGCGATGATGTCTGAATATGTGACCCTATGCATATTGAGACATGATTCGGAATGCCATAAACTCCAGCGCAGTTTCGTTGAAGGTTGTCTTCGTGTTGTTTTTCATCCGTGATTATTGTGTGAATTTTCAATTTCTGTAGCTCGTTCAAATACTCCACTAAGCACGCGTCAGTATTGGTCTCCCCACCCCAAAGCTTGCGCAATTACCTGGTGTTGTAGGCTGCTTCTTTCTCGCGAGGAGCCGCACCAAAAGACAAAGGCAGTCATCGGCGGGTAGTTCTGGGACGCACTGCTTCTCTTCCTCTGTCAAAGGCTTCAATTGAATCATGTCTTGAAGTGTCTTGGCGGCGGTTTTGTTACCCGGGTTCGAGGATGCCCATTGTAAGATCTCGGTGACTACGACGACGAGCTGAACGAACTCTTGCGGCCTGTTGCTTCCCCCTGGCTCCAGCAGAAAAGCATCTTCGATGATGGCTTGGTAGGTTCTGAAAAATCCGTCATCGAGTTCTTGCGAAGGTTTGTGGTTGCCGATAGAGTTCCTTGTGCACGGAGGGTTGAATGGTTCGATCGTCGGTACCATTTCTTTTCTCTATGAGAGGAGAAGTAGTTGTCAAATAACCGCGGTACGTTATCGAAGGCAGGCTTTTCTGGATGAATTGAGGTTGCGACTGAGCATTTGCCTGAATCTTGAAGGCCACGATCACTGGTGCTTTGAAGTGTAAACGATCGCGAAGCAACATATGTCCTTTCAGGACCAACAGAAAATAGGATACCCATTCTGCCCGTCAATTTGGAGCAAACCATACTGCTCGGAACAAAGATGATAGCAATCTCAAGGAGGCGCGCTGTTGCACGTATGTGCTGGAAGAGGTACCGCAAAGGCTTGATCATTGACCGAGACAAAGATTGATCGCTGCATTGCAGACAGCAAACAGAGACAGAGAGCCCGAATCTGGTCCCAAATAGACTGGTTACAATGAGATGCATTGGAGTTTCCGGCCAAAGCCAACACCATGGACAAACTCCTGGTGATACGGGATGTTGCCGATGAGTAGATGTTTGCTCCATGGCGAAAAGTGTAAAACTTCCACATCAGCAAGCCGGGACGCGAGTGTGGCTGTGTGAGAGCCATCCAGCAGGTTTGTTGTGTTGTTTAACAAAGACAAAGATTGCTTTGTTCGCGAAAAGGAGATGGAGGCTGTGGGAGCAAACAAGCATCACAAAGATGCCAAGATGCTCACGAGGCTGAAGTGAAAGGGATGCCAAGACAATTTTGCGGTATGGCCCAAAGGCTCTGGAGGTAGCCCCAGGAGGTAAAAGCGGCAACAGTGCCCGTGTCCCAGTCATCAGTAAATATACTTGCGCCGCTTTTAACGGGGCTGCCGCCGCCACCGCCGGTTATGATGTTGTCACACTTGGCCCGTCCACGACTCTTGTTGCCTCAAAAGTAACATGCTAGCTCTGATACATGGCACCTTGAGCGCAAGCTGTCGATAGGCATGCGTTCTACTTCCCTTCGCAGGGCAAGAGTGAGAACGTCTCCACGAGCACTTCAGGCCACACCCGACTGCTTTTCGCGAATCTTTCGAATGCTACCATATCAACGCTTTCAAAATGCACTTCATACCTAGTACTACAAAAGATAAGAGGTGGAGGAGGAGTGCTGAACGCGGGATCAAAAGCAAGTGAAGAAGCGAGTCCAGCGAACACTGAAAATGGACTAGGCTGTCCATGCTACGGGGCAAGACGTCTACATCCATGAATAGCCGGCGCACCTGCGAGTGGAAAATGACACTTTCTCTTGCATTGGTCTCTGATCCGGTTGAATCCTGACACGTCTAATTGCTGATTGTAAAAGCATTCAACTCGGAGGAGCGGTAAGCTCGACACCTCTCGTGAGACCGACCCAGGTCAAGCCCAACCCCTACTTGACATACCCGAACTCCCTTCGACCGACCCCGTCACGGCCCTCGAGGACGTGATTGATTTGATCAAACCCTTTTCCGCTGGGAAAATTCGGGCTATGTTGACCGGGGCAGTTCATCTATCATAGGTTTGTCCTTGGCGTTGAACTCGCCGCCTTTGAGTGGAAGAACGGGTCTGAATCGAGGTATGGCCTTTTGGAATCGGTTCTTCTCGTCCCAGAGATATTGTTTCAAAGTAGCTGCATCCAACTCAGCATGGTCCCATTCACTAACCGAAGAGAACATCTTGATAAGATCGGTGTCGTTCTCAGCCAGGCGATGGAAGAAGTCTTTAGCGCCTGCTTCTGCCGAGTAATGTGGCGTGCTTGGTGGATACTTTCGCTCGCTCTCTGGAATGTCATATTCCTTTACCTTTTTCCTGTCCGGCCTGGAACCCGAAAATTTCGAGAACCTGAAAGCACGAAGCTCTCGGACAAGCCATACCGGTCTCTCTGGTCGTTCTAGGTCGACAACAACAGCGAACCAGGATGGCGTGAGGCTCTCCTTTGGCGCTGGATCTGACGCTGGCGCATCGTAACGCCAATAATGGCCTGTAATGCAGAGATGGCCGAGAGCACTCACGATCCTCGGCATTTCCTGACGGCTGGGGTGTTGGCTCAAATCATCCAGCCCATGATAGTCGATGAAGTAAAGAAACGATTTCGAAGTTTTCTTGCTCGGAGCGTCAAACCAGGGATAATAGCGAATGCCCAAGAGGCTGATCATAGCGCAGTCAATGTCAAACTCTGGATTGTCGGCGTGGCTGCTGGTGCGATAGGTGGATCGCAGCGTCGACTTATCCGCAGAAGGGCTGGAAAAGCTGGCAGTCCAGAAATGGCAAGGTCCTTCTCCCACATCAAGTGGGCCGTGGCTTTGCGCCGCAGCCCAGGCCTCTTGAGTGGAAGAAGCCGTGTTGTTGCCTTCGTTCCAATAGAGGAAGCTATTAGGTGCCAGGTCGGCCAAACACCATACTTTGTGTGGAAAGAGGCGAACCAAGTCATTGTTCTGGTCGTGCTTGAAGGCCTCAATCGGCACCAAACTCATTGGCCATAACTTGGGATTGTTTCCACCCCATAGGAAGCAGGCTTGGTTTATTCTTCGGTTAACTTTATCGTACTCGACGCTATCCTGGTTGATCCATGCGTCCCTATACTTTTCGAAATCGGAAAACTGAAACTCCAGCAAGGCCTTTTTCATGTCCCGTGCGGCGCTCGGTGGCGCAAATTCACGTCTCATCGGCGGCTTTCTATTCATGGTGTCTGAAACGGCTGTCCTGAACCCTCTTGGAGGAAGGATTTGTTTAGAGAACGAGACGGTATGCTGGTAGCCTCTGCGAGAGTGAGAAACGTTTACGAAAGGCAGAGAAAACCAAGTCAACAAAACCAGGACCAAGATGTCGCTATATATGCTAGGACGGGCTCGAGCCAACAACCGACGCGTCTTTGTTTACCAGATTGTCATGCAGTCGGTGCGCGAAGCCCCAAAACTTGAGTGATGGAATGCTGAATTCCAATCTCTGTGCCTAGCAATCATCAAGTCATGACTCTGAAAGGGTTGACGCATTCCGCACCAAGGCCGAGAAGGCAAGGAGACGCGTGATGCAAACCTGGTTGTGAACTGGACTGTTTCTCTTTCAGCTATTCAGACCCATATGAAAAAGTCGAGGAATTTGGGCCCAGATTCCTACCACTCTTCGGTTGATGGGGAGTTTCTTTCATTGGTCCCGTGCAAATTTGCTTTTCAGTGGAAAATGGTAACAACGTTCCCATTTTTGTGACGAATCTACAAAAAAAAAACAAAACAAAACAGGGGTCTTGGAATCCCCGTGTTACGCCTTGGTCACTTCCTGGCACTAGACAACCACCGGACCTGATGGAATGGAACGCAATATCGCAGCCTCGTGGTTCACGAGACCCGTCCCTGTTGTTGTTGTTGGTTACACAGGCACGCAGCTGTAGCTGGTAGCAACGGCCGGATCGCCGCCCGTATACTTGGATGTCAAGGGATACAGGCACAGATGATGCTCGGCCGTTGTGCCGTTTGCCCGTGGCGACGAAGCCGACAGCGTCTCAGGCGCCACGCCTTGCTCGACCCAGGTGACCAGCGCGGCCAGCGGATCCGTGGGCACAGCGCCCAGGCCGCCACCACAGTGGTTGACACCGGGGGCCAGAAAGAGGCGCCAGAACTCGTCGACAGCGGCGTTGCTACTGCCAAAGAGCGCGGTGACCCGCTCACGGTAGTCGATGGTGTTGTTGGTCATGATCAGCGGGTCCGCCAGGCCGTGCCACGTAATCATCTTGCCGCCCAGGTCACGGAAGGGCGCGAGGTCCGGGTTCCTCGTCCCGATGGCCCATTCGTACTCGTCGTTGGACTGGATGTAGAAATCAAGGAACTGACTGTAGTCGACCGTCGAGTAGTCGAACGTGGGATCTCGCTTGAGGAAATAGGCGGCCCAAGTGGAGGAGAAGAAGTCGGGAACCCCGACCGACGTCCCGTTGGAGAGCGTCGTGGTGTTGGCCAACGTCGACAATGGGGCGCCCTTGTGGAGACCGTACCAGAGCCGTGCCCCCGATGGGGTCGTTGGACCGGCCCAGATCCTGCTGACGATATCGGCCACCTGAGAAGTCACAGTCACCTCCTCGCCGCCGCCGTAGCTCGAACAGTCGAGTTGGGATCCCACCAGCTGGGCAGGTTCAAACGGACAAGTGGCCGGATTCCCAATGATGCCGTCAACTAGCCCGTCAAGTCCGTCACATTCTGCAATGCTAGCATTGGTGAATGCGTCTAGCTCGCACAGGGACGGGAACAGACCCGCATCGTGGTAGACAACCTGAGGCCACCCGCCGGCCACGAGCAGCGTGGGCCAATTGATTGCGGGTGCGGCGGCCAAAACACCGTTGTAGTCGCCGGGGTATCTCTGGGCCTCTATCATTCCTTGACGGCCGCCCGTGGAACATCCATTCCAGTAAGAGTGATGCGGCGGCGCGCCGTAGAAGCTGGTGGTCACGGCTTTGCCAACGACGGTCATGTCGTGCAGAGACCGCGAGGCAAAGTCCACCACCAATGGCCAGTTGGTCGTACCGTCGGCGTTCAATGCCCAAACAGGTTCGACGTCGGTGATGGGGTGCCCTCCATCGGTGATGCCGGCGGCATAGCCCGACGAGGCTGCGGGCGCCAGTGAAGCCTGGCCGTTGTCGGTGTCATATCCACCGCCGCCGACGCCTTGAAAGCGCCCATTCCATCCCGCCAGGGGGAGGAAGACCTCGACTGTCACCAGGTCGTTCGCTCCCGGGTGCGATAGCGTGACAACGACGTCACAGATGGCCAGGCCGCTGATGCCCGGGGATCTAGCAGTGGCCGGCACCGAGTAGCTCATATTCCGCACACCTGTGACGGAAACCACTGTGGCCCCAGGAACATCCGGCTTTGGAATGGCCTCACAGGCCATGACGGGCGCTCCAGCCGTCGGGGCGGCGTGTCCAGGCGCGACGGTGATGCTGACATTGACAGCAACACTCAAGGTGGCCGCTAGACCTCGTCCCCAGAGACGCATTTTGGAGGCAAGTCTGTACTCGGCTGGAGAGGGGAGGGGAAGAAATAAAAACTGTGGCCGGAT